ACCTTGGAGTACGAGGTGGAGCCAGAGCCACCGGTCCAGACAGCAGGACCAGGCATAGGATAATCCTTGTAGCCACCCCAGATGCTGAAGTTGAAGGAGGGGTCGTCTTTCTTGTATCCACCGGGAAACTTGATAGTAGGACCGGGGGTGCCGTTGCCGCCGCCGGTGACCTTGACTTGAGCGCAGCTGGAGTCTGGTCAGAAAGATTTATCACGCTGCTGAACCTGAGCTGGTACTTACGTGTAGTAGAACTCGGCTTGTCCATCATGGGCTCCGTGAATAGCTGTATTTGCATTAGTATCGCGTAGCCTAAGGGTGAGAACAATAGTGAGAAATGGAAAATGCGCATACCGATGTGCTCAGGGCGGATGAGGTACTCTCCATCAGGAAGATCAGAAGGAATCGTAAACTCAATGCGATCCTTGTCCCAGGTGCACCAGGCATCCTTGGTGAAGTCGGCGTTCTTGTTGCAAACGCTTTCTTCGTGGATTTTGAACCAGTCACCATCACCCTGATAGGTCTTTGCGCTGCTTGGAGCCTTGGACATGTACACCAAGGCAGGGCCCGGGTGCTGCATAGTGGCACCGACGGCGAGCTTCATAGCAAGCTTGGAACCAGCCTTGACCTCGGCCGTGCCTGTCTGGCCAGCAAAGGTAAAGGCGCCTTTGTTGCAGCGGAAGTCGGTCATATCAGGCGTCATGTCGTCGCGAGTGTTCTTCCACTTGGTCGGGTTGTACTTGGCCGGGCGGGTGTTGGAGCGAACGAACTCGTTGCTTTTAGTCTCCTGGCCATCGATAACCAGGACATCAAAGAAGTAATGGGCAGACACAAATGGCACCAGAGCCACGGCAGCAAGAAGGGACAGCTTCATCTTGAGAAGTGCAAAGGAAAGAGCGGGTGAGCTATTGGTACAAGAGAGAATGGAAGGGGACCGGCCCGAGAAAGAAAAATTGTACTGTGGTAGAAGAATCGAACAGTAGAGACAGACACGCGGTGAATCTGCTGAGGTCAACGAACAGAGGAATTGGCCTTCCTTATAAACCTTGGATTCTTAGTGCCTTTATCACCTAGCACAGATTGTTATCCGCGAGTTTTCTTCGAACGAGTTTCACATCCGAATAGCATCACTCTATCCGAAATATGCCAAGCGACGAACGGCGCTGGCCGTGCTTCAAGTTAGCGGGTCCGTAGATCCACGTCGTAACCTCAGGCGCTCAAAGGTTCGGTTGTTTCACGTAAATTCCTTTGAAAATAAGACCCTGGCACTTCCAGGAATCATCTAGGTATGGGAGCTCGACTCTTTTAGTCGTTTCCCGTTGAGCTGGCCAGACACGTACATTTTTCTTTTTTGGTACCCTGTAGCTCGTATTTTAGCTATACTTCCATCTCAAAGTTGGTCAAGGTTCGCACAGAGGCAAAGACGGACCGTGCTTGTAGCTGGGATTGAAGACTTGTATAGCAGATAATTGATCCATCAGATGAAGGGCATTGCCTTTTGGCACATACCTATGGTGAGGCATGGAAAAACGAAGTCCAAGACACCTAGGTGTAGGCTTGGCGAAGCTCTACACTTGGCGATTGAATCCATTTGTCGGCTGCCTGTCCTCGAGGTGTGAGAGCCTGGACACCGACATTCAGGCTGAATTACATGAGAAGAACCAGAATCGAACGCGTAGATTCGCAGGAGCGTATAGCCTTCGGTATATAGGCTACCTTGCGATTGCCGATGGCGAATCCTATATCGCGTCAGATGTGTCCTGAAATTTAGCGGTTACCAGGGTCCCAGAGGTCAGTGGCATCCATGCACTCTAACCTGAAGTGACAACAAGTGGAGTTGTCTCCGGCTAAACTAACTAGTTGGCCAACGTCAAGTACGGAGAAGATGCGCCGCTTGAGGGTAATCCATATTCAGTCTTCTACAGCCAGTCGCAGGTTGCAATTGGTCGGTGGATTCAAGATGCGACATTCCTGTCACAGAACGAGTCAGTCAGTCAGGCAAAGCAATGCGCGTCGGCAAATTGGAGGTATGTTCACCAACCGAGCAGCGCCATTTTGGCATGGCTGTAAGGGTCTATCCTCTCTTGGCAATGGGCCGATGAGACATTCTGGGACTCAGGGTCTCAGTTTAACCATCAGACCAAAGCTCCGTGGGCCAAAGGGCTAGCAGCCGTCTTGGCACTAAGACTATGTTTAACCGTAACAGCAGGCCCGCTCATCTGCAAAAGCCTGCCTAAGCAGGGTCTCTGACGCAAGGCCGAGCGGAGGTGTGCCATCGCGCAAGTCAAACTGGGGATGCACACAACTGATGGCAAGTCTCCCCCGAAAAGACAGCATTTTGCAGATCTTCTCTTCGGCAGTGGAAAGCAATTTCTGGTCAACATCAGCCGGGAGGTTGAATCATCTGGCTCGTACGATCAAAGCTATAAATACCAGGCACAATTGCCCATAAGACTTTACTTCGTAGGACTCTCAGCTGCCCTGCGAGCACCATCCGTCTTCCATATTATCTCTTATTGTCACAGCCATCCATCAACATACCTTTCTTACAATGGTTCCAACCATGCTATATTCTGCCATCCTGGCTCTGAGCGCCCTCACGCCCTCAGTCCTAGCTGAAACTCGACCCTCTGGGTGCGGCAAACAGCCGAGTCTCACCACCGGTGTCCACAACATCAATGGCCGGGAGTATATACTCAAGGTCCCTGACAATTACGATAAGAACAAAGCCCATCATCTGGTTTTTGGCTTGCACTGGCGCGGCGGCAACATGTGGAACATCGTTGACGGCCAAAGTGTTCAGCCCTGGTACGGCCTGGAGACGCGCGCTCAGGGCAGCACCATATTCGTCGCCCCTAACGGCAAGAATGCCGGCTGGGCCAACAACGGCGGCGAGGATATTGCCTTCATCGACGCTATTATCAAGCAAGTCGAGGGCGACCTCTGCGTTGACCAGAGCTCTCGCTTTGCCACAGGCTTTAGCTGGGGCGGTGGCATGTCCTACTCGTTAGCCTGCTCGCGTGCGAAGCAGTTTAGGGCTGTCTCTGTCCTGAGTGGCGGTGTGATCAGCGGTTGCGACGGTGGTAACGACCCAATTGCTTATCTCGGCATCCACGGCATCAATGATGGTGTGCTGCCCTTCCAAGGGGGCGTCAACCTGGCCCAGAAGTTCGTAAGGAACAATGGATGCCAACAAGCCAACATTGGCACACCACAATCTGGCAGCCATGGTTCGGTCCGCACCGATTTCAAGGGCTGTTCCAAGCCGGTTTCATTTATCGCCTATGATGGCGGCCATGACGCTGCTCCTCTTGGTGTCAGCAGTTCTCTGGCCCCTGATGCCACTTGGAAATTCTTCATGGCCGCTTGAATGTTGGCTTTTGTCTTGGGTCACAATTCTGGTTGCAGCGAAGGGCAACGGATGGTTCATGGATCTCTATGATGTCTTTATCCACACTCGTTAACCATGTATATACCGACATCAGCAGTTGCGAACAATGGAGATGTGTATAAGGGGTTGACAGGCCCATGTAAACCATATAAATGTTAGAAGTGTAGTAGTAACATCCATGTGGCAAGTCTATTGAGAGAAGAATCATCAGTCTTGCTTATGAATCGAAGCATCCCAGAATAGGCACAAGGATATTCTGTATGTCACTCGCCTTGCATTTGTGGGCAGTTCTCAGATTGCATAAGTAAACTTATCATCCCTTTATGATCTCAACGGTTCGCGCCATGGGATTGTGAACAAAAGGTCTGTTGAGGAGGAAGGTGCCGCAAAAGTGAGAGCAGTGGGTCAGACGTTCGTCGAGGATCACCGCTAAGTTGTGAGGGCCAAGGGGTAGAGTGTTGACTAACAGGAGAACCCCTCATGGATTCATCCCTGGGCCTGCTCATCTCGCGATATGTCCTACCTGATGCATGAACCAAAGCTGATTGCTCCCACGTGATTCTGTGTAGTCTATCGATAGAGAACCTCTTTCTTCCTGAAACCAGCATCCACTGTCATTCCGAAGCTCCGTTCAGCCACATAGTTCGAATTCCTGTACATTATCCAGCAATATGACGGCGATATTCCAATACTTGATCTCTTTTTCCGCATTTCAAAGCAGTCGGTACGCAGGCCTATCCCAAGGAAACCTAGTTTTCGAGTGTACACAACGAGATAGCACAGAACACAGCCAAAACTACTCAGCGAACTTGAGCCAGGTCCTTGCATTTTCATGGCCACGTCGCCAAAACCGACTCTTAAGTCTGGTTGACGGAGTACTGGAAGCAGCACGGTAGGCAATGTGGTCAGTACACTGCTTCACTTTACTTTCTGTTTGGTCAAAGATACTTTCGGATGGTTGCTGACTGAGATTTCAAAAAAAGGACTTGCGAGAACATAATGATCGCCATTTCGCTAGAATCCTTCCATAATCCACATGTCCTCGTCCTGAGAGAGCCTTGATACTTGCCTGGAATGGCATGGAAGTGAATTCATTGGCTATTTACTGCCTCAGGAACAGATTGTGGTCCTCCTTGAGCAGACACTTGTGCAGCCTCTTGGGATCCGATTTTGTCCCGCGAAATACTCTACACTTGCACCAGTGCACTGGCTAGCACCGGAGAAACCATATCGTTGGCGGTAGTGACAGCTTGGTTGTGATGCTACGATCGCTTTTCAGCGTCCTCTTCATACAGCTCTCAAGTTCTCAGTTGGCAGGAGTTACCCTTCGATGTCAGACTCAGCACATGGATGGAATGTGAGTTTGCCACGCCGTCAGAGGTGTGTCACTGAATTTAAGCTTCTATTGCTTAACATTGGTTAAAGCCCGGGGCGAGTGCGCCAAACTATGACTCCCTTGGTTGACGATAGCTCTCAGGAATTCCTGACGTGTATTCACATTTCATCATCCGCCGCCCCCGCCTCCGATTTCAATTTATATAGCTTTCCACCGTTCGAATATGCGGCATGTCCGCCAAAGGTAGTTTTACGAAAGATACACCCTCACCATCTAATGTCTGACCTCGAGAATATGGACACTCTTCGCTTTCGCGAACGAGTCCACCAACGCCGACGGCACAGTCAACCACTCACCGACGAGGAAATCACCTACATCACCCAACAGAGCGCAGAGCTTGCCGACGAAGCATTAACGGGTAAGGCTTTTGAGTTTGTTCGTGTAGGTGAGATCTTCGGGGCTAAGAGCACCCGAGACCAGGTGAATCCGGACCAGATTCGATGGGCGTCCAAGGCCGAGCAGGTCTTGAGCAAACCGTTGAATGAGATCACGATGGACGACTCCAGGAATTTAACCTCAAAGGAGGTAAGAGCCGCTTTGCTTTGACATCAAATCATGGATCCTTTTCTAGTAGGCGCCTGGCTGACGCTAAGTCATAGGCGCGTGCGTTTGCGGATCTCCCTGCGACCGGATCAGTGGCTTCGCATGTTCATTCGGCGGCGGAGAAAAATGCCGAGGGCTCGTAGATATTGTTTGAAATTAGCTTTAGATATAATGTGATCGTTGTGTTTGGTGTTTTCATTTCGCGGTCTGAAGGGGATAATTCTAGTAAATCGATGCGGGGAGTTTGAGTCTGGAGAAATGGGGAGGCTTGAAGGGGGCCGAAAAGCCATGGTAGTCAAGCATCACTGAGGATATGGACCGGTTCCGGGACAAATTCCACAAGTATCTAGTTGAATGTTTGGTAATCCTAGCAGGCTAGCAAAAGCAGCTATTACCGTGAAGGAATCGACTACGCAATGTAGCTGCAGATACAGTTCAGTAAGCGTCATTTGTGGAAGAGCTCTACATCACCAGCTATGGCAGTAATGGGTTTGACATTGCGTCGATGTAGGCTCAATTGAGCAAAAACTCCTACAAATGCTACTTCAGGTAGAATCCTGAAGGGCTTCTACTCAATGACAATGAGAATTGCAGCCGACCGACGACACTGAACCAAGGGGAAGAACAGTGGCGATGACTACCGGCCTGGGTTAAGGGCTCCAATATCTGCGATGTCATACTTAAGCTGACAGGCAGCGCTATTTGTACACCACTTCTATCATGGACGTAGTATATGGTGTATTCCTCACGCTGTCTTCAACAATCCTGATTAATCATTTAAGTTGCACAGGGGTGATAGGATCAACCATCATTTATGTTTTCTAAAACCTTGCTATTCAACTGTCACTCCATTGGCATGGGATCCAGTCAGTACCCGTTAGTAAGCTTCTGCAGCCTTCAAAACGCGGTTTATTCTTCGGTTTCCAGCAGTGATCAATCTCCTAAGATTGGTTTATCTACTTACCTATTGTATGATATACTACCATAATAGGCAAGCGCCACTGTTTAAGCTTTCGGCATTTCCGCATGGGTGACCCACATTAGGGCTATGGCTATGATCATTTCTTGAGGAGAGATATGGGCGACTAGGTACGTCTCATCTACTTGCAATAGCACATTATGGAGAATCCCATGGGGTTTTAGGATTATGCTTATGTTACTCTTTGGGATGATGTTCTGTTTCATGTCATGTCCAATGAGCAACCCAGTTTGCCATCACATGTACAGTACCCAGGTACCTATTCAAGACCGAAGACCAAGTGATCTGTCAGTTGGAGAGAGGGGTGGCAGATTGAGGTTATTCCGGGATAGCAGAATATGTCAAATGTCCTCAAATCACTGAGCTAAAATGATGTGAAGGCAACCTTTATAGCTAGTAAAAATAGTAGTGCAGCGGATGGACAGCAGATGGACAGCAGAATAGGGGTTTGTACATATACAAGCTAAGAGCTTGAGTAGATGAAAATCGTGGCTCGCAGTTGTAAGCATTTCGTTGCAGTCATTACTATAAACTAAGCGCTCGTCATTTGAATATGATTCCGCATTTTTGGTAGTGTAGATGGTATCCAAACAGCCACTTTAGGTTCTCTGAATCTCCATTAAACAAGCGAAGAGCGAAGTAAGCTATACCAAGTTTAAGATTGAGGTTAACAACACTGATCAGGTGATCATATCCAGACAGGTCACAAGCCCAGAACTCGCATGAACACAACTTCAGATGTGTTTGCCCGGTGAAGTACCTCAAGCCCTCGCTTTCGCCGCGTCATACAATGCCTGGATGTCGTCTTTCCACATCTTCTCATCGACACGCTTCAGTCTTCGATCATAAGTCAACAACCCATTTACCTCGCCCTCTACATCGGTTGTTTGCGTCCAGATTCCTCCACTGCATGAGAATCGCGTGATCTGATCTTTGAGCTCGCTCAAAAGGAGGTGGCTACGGTAGTTCCAGATGTCAAAATTATCGGCGATCTCGTAAGTCATGTTGATTCCGTTGATGGCGTCGATGTTGTTCCACAAGCTACTTCCATCAACTGACTGGTTGGTCCCCGTGGGAGGGGTAGACTTACTGCTCGATAGAAACATTGGTGCCGACGCCCCCGAATTCACCTTGTATGGCGATTCTGCTTGGGTCGCGCGGGCTCGACTGTATGGAGTAAAACGGTGTGCCACATTGAGGGTATGAGTAATGGTGATTGTCGCTGAAGTCACCTTGCCCGTGGTCAGTCCATCCGGTCGTCGCATCAACCAGCCTTGTGGGATCCAACTGGCGGACTCTCTCCGTTAACTCGATCTCCGGATAATAGTCAGTCAACTGACCCCAGCCTTCGTTATAGATTACCTGGGACTGTCAGTCAATGATCGAAGGATAGTGTTGTGAGGAATACCCATGTAAAAATGCTGGGGTAGCTCTTGTGCTGCTTTACAAGTAGCTCTAGCTGTCTGCTGAATTCCTGCTGCTGGACAGCGTCTGGCAAAATGGTTTGGTCGGTGCAGTTTGGGAGTTTTCGCGATTGCAAGGGTCGAAGCGAGGGCATATCTTGAACAACCAGGAGACCGATCTCATCGCAAGCTCGGTAGAAGAGGGCCGGCTCGACTTTGATCTGAAGTACTCGGTAAGCAATGAACGCCCCCAAATAATTGATACTTACGTGTTTGCGAAGCATATTGAACCCAAGGCTCTTCAGAAAGTGCAAATCATACACCATCGCTTCTCGATTTGGGGGAGTGTAGATACCATCCGGCCAATAGCCTTGGTCAAGCGTACCAAAGACAAATGTAAATTCGCCGTTTATCAAAGGCCGCAGGATACCATTGACTGTTCCTTTCGATATAGTACGGAATCCGGTATAACTCTTGACCTCGTCCGCTCCCATCTTGACGCTAATGTTATACAGAGTCGGAGAATCAGGCGACCACAGTTTCGGAGACTCGACTTTGAAACTGAAGGGTTGGTCGGATGTACCCTTGTGGGATGCAACTTGCTTATCTGAAGCACCATCAAAGATTGTAATGTCCACCGGTGTTGATCCACCACTGGCACTGACGGCAGTTACGTTGACTTCTCGTGTCAGTTTTCAAAAAAATCGACTTTGACATACTTTCACGCACCTTGTCCATCCATGCCAGCACTGATGTCCAGCTCCGTGATATAGTTGGCTGGAGCCGACTCAATCCAGACACTCTGCCATATGCCGCTGCAGGGCGTATAGAAGATGTGAGCTGGGATGAGTCTCTGTTTGCCAATTGGTATGACATAGTCACCGCTGTCAGTGGGATCGTGCACGAAGACCAACCTGATAAAGTCAGCTTTCGAAATAAGGCTGGGCTAAGTTTCTCACAATTCATTCGCACCGTCGAAGGAGACAAATTGCGTGATGTCCAGGGTAAAGGAGAAATATCCTCCACGATTGAAGCCAGCCTGCTTCCCATTGACAAAGACGGTTGCCTCATAGTCCACAGCACCGAAGTTCAAGAGCACGTTCTGGTGCTTCCATGGCTTGGGTACTGTGAAGGTTGTGGACAGCCAGGAATAAAGAGTGTGATTTCCTTGGATTCCTGCACGGTGGTCAATTTTACTGCTTGTGCAGTCCGAGGGAATGACACTACCTGATAGAGCACTCTCCAAGCAGGACGGGATTAGGACCTCATTGGCTAGGGCTTGCCCAAACGGAGGAGCTTGGACAGCTTCCAGCCCAGATGCATTCTGATACTGCCAGATCCCGTTCAAGCTCTGCCATTCAGATCGCTCCAACTGAGGTCGAGGATACTCTGGCCATGGATTGGTACCGACCTTGCTGGTCCAGTCTGTGTCAAGGGGTGGGACCTTGGGTGCATATTTTGCAGTTTGCCGAGCGTAATTATGATGACGAGGCTCTTCAGAGTCATTCGCCAGTACCCTGCCGGCGAGCAGCAGGAGAAGAAGTTTGTTTAACAAGAACATATCTGTCGATCACAGATAACCTCCAATCAATGAGAAAATTTCCGCGATTGACACTGCACGAGCTGAGCAGTCCTTGCCATGCCTGCATGGATTGACAAGATATATATACAATTTTCACTGGCCTGACCGCCAGTCTCCATTTCCCTAACTCCATGCAGCGAGAAATGACGACAAACATCCTTTCTCGAGTCGCTACTATCGCATGACCGCGTCTCCGCACAATCCAAGTCTTTAGCACTGTAACCCTTGCATCCCAACATACAACAAGCGGTACGATAACCCCGCAACAGTGGGACTCTCGGGGAAGTTGAGAACCGAAAATCGACAGATAGCAGCTGATTACAAGCTGGACGCAGGATACCGGACAGGGAGGAGGGATTCGGTGACTTGATCTACAGGTTTTGGGCCGTTTCCGCATGCTTGGCGACATTAGTGATGCGGGGGGAATAAGGATCGACCTCTCGGAGGGCGGATTGGGGCTCTCCATGGACCCTAGGACTGGGTCTACCATGACTTGTCAACCAAGCGAAATGCACGGCCGGATGCCAACGCAGAACATCAGTCGGTAGAGAGATTATCACTGCTTGATCCCCTCTCTTTCTGGCTCCGCTGTGATGCGTTGTTGATTTGACCACGGTGATTACCTAAACCAAGCCCTAACTGCATACAGAAAAGGGTGTGTTTTTATGCAAGATAGTCGGCTTGCTGATCTTCGCGCATCGACCAAATGATGCCCGCCATTGGCCAAACAAGGCAGGAAAGTTACAATAGCACTGCCCTAGGGCAAGCAAGATCTGCCAGCTGTTTACCCCGCCAACAACGCCGGACTTGATCCTGAGTCAGTTTCTGGTCATAATGCGGGGGGATGTTTGACAGAGCAGAGACGCTCAGTCATGGTCGACCGTTATAACGCCCACCCGAAGAATCTAGTTTGCCACGTCAGTCAACAGCAGGGGTAAAGAGAACAGAGCTACTTCGCATGGACAACCCGACATGAAAGTTACCCGTCACCCCTCGGTCAGTTCACCATGAGATGCACGAGTTGCGGAGAGTTTGCCCCGATAACTCCACGAGTGAGAGCCAGGTCATGTGGAGAATTAGACTGGAGCCTTGGACCGGGAGAGGATGTGGGTACGGTCTATGATATGATTCATGGACTTGGTGACCTGTGTCGCATGACATTCTACTTTTATTAGTGCCCTCAGAGATAACCCGAAGGATGCACTCGCCTCCCCTTCTGAGCCAATATACTAACAAAGGCAGCATGTGGCACTATGAGGTTACATTTACGGCACGCTTTGCGTGGTAAAGCATCTGTTCGGTATTCCTGCGTACTCCAACATTGAGATTAACCTTCGAGCTAAAAGCCCACAAATGGGACTTCGTGGGTCTCCCCAGAATGATATCTTCATAATGGCGGGGAGAATCAGAAAGATTTTCCCGGATAAGAATCAATTCAAGAGGCGAAACCAAGTGTGACCTGAACAGGATTGGTTGAATGTATGAGGCCGCGCCTGGTGATGTTATCGATTTCAGAATTGCACCATTTTAAAGCCTCACCCCGGAGGCGTGTGTCAAGATTTCAACTAATCTTGGTGATTGACCTGGATTGTCGGGCTACCCGCAGACGATTAGCAAAGGCTACTGCAGATTGATCAAACGTCTTGTTATCCTTATCAACCACTTCACCGTCTCCGCTAGCAAAAGGCAGATCTGGGAAAAAGAACCCAATATCTGACGCCGGGTACCACCAGCTGCCAATCCTTTTCTCCTCCCAAGCTCACTTGCACAGTGAAACAAACATGACATTGGAACAAGTGCAAGGCGAGAGAAAAGAGAGGAGTAGAAGCCATGCTTCTCAGTACCGGTCCAAGAGCGAACAGGTGGTTGACACCAACTTCAAGGCACAGCCAAGCCGTTCATCCGCATTTGAGGGTGTTACTTTCAATTTGGATGGAACCCCTCGGTTCTTGGGCAGGACTCTTTGGAGTCATTTGCTGGCTTGTGGTTGCGGAGCTCAGTGATGCCTGAGGGGGTTGCGCTTTCCTTGACCATGGTCGAGATTGAGATGAGGAAATTTGCTATCCGAGCGACATAGGCACTCTCGACTGAATGCAGCTGGGACCTTTCTCTTTCCACTGGTGTGTGAAGTTTCGGTAACGTCTTCACGGATGCCGGCCGTCCAGTCGAGCCCAGGGTCTCAAAGCCTGTATACCATTGTCCACGGTAGCCCGACAATGCTTTTGGCCTCCTGTTTTTGCTCCATGTATGGGAGTTGTAGAATAGGATCAGCAAAGTCCCCTCTCCATATCAACGGTGCAATCATGAAGAAACCGGTGATTGTCCATCTGACTTTCGAGGTGTATATATACCCGACTTGCCCATTCTTTGAGCCTCAATACTCAACAAAGTCGCCGATTGCAATCGATTCATGCCGTCTAGTTGTCTTAGTCCCGGAACCTCGGTATACTCACTACTAGATGAATGGGCATCACCGCACTCAAACGAGAGCATTAGCTTTCTACCTCACCTACTCTCATCGCCTGTCGCTCGGGCATGGCTGCGGAATTCTGGAGAGCAGGCTTTCTTCGCGCCAGGTTAGAGTTGCATAACTGAATTGTTCGGATTAATGGGGGAAGTCCAGAGACTGCCGCGGATTCAGCACCCCCTATTAGCTGTTGCTAAACTGAAAGAGGTCCGTATCGTCTTTCAAGTTCATAGATGGAATGCCGAGCTGGCATGACTTTTGCTATTAGGGTTCCCTGTTTCTGTGCTTTAAGAGAACCGACTGTACTTGCTTGTCGGCGACCGACCATCGCTCAGTCTGGAGAATTCGCCCATGGAGATATCAGAACTGTAGTTCTAGTTTGAGAGATAACTCTGCATGACTTGCTATGGCAGCACTAAGGATGATAACTCAATGATCACGACGGGGTTATTCCATGCCAAATATGGCTTTTCTACTGCGATATCCAATACTTGACCATCAGGCTTGTCAGTCTTCCTGCATTGCTCGTAGAGGGATGCTTATCATACTCGTTAGCCCCAACCCTGTATCCCATGGTTGGTTCGTCCCGTAGGAATAGTTCGAAGGTGAGGAGCATCCGTGGAGAATCACTCCAATGCCCTTGACTGATATGCTTCCTCCTCTCGCACGAGGAGCAATCCGGTGTCCATGATTAGTGAGAGACCTGGACGGCGAGACCGGCGGATGGAGGTGGGGCCGAGAAAGGGTGTTAAGCCCAAAAAGGTGAAGTCTGGCCGAGGCGGAAGACCAGGGGCTAAGCCTAATTTGCTCTGGTGGTTGTGCCCTGATCCAATCCCGCCTCGTGTTTGCCGTTGTCCATTGGCTGTTCATGGCCCAGTCCCACCTGATCCAATCCAGCAGACCAACCAATGGCCGGGCGCTCGTATATAGGCCTCCCAATTAGGGAAAAGTCAAGCATCTTGGCAACAGGCCGATAACTTGGCAGTTGGCACGTCGGTCTCCAGGCCAGAGGCGTCATCCTCCACCACAGAGAGTTGCCGGCCCTTCTCCTCTCACCTCTGCTGTCAATCTCTATCAGCATCCAATCCATCATGTGGAAGTCCTTACTCCGCCTCAGAAATCATCGCCAATGATGATATGGCAATTATTACGCCCTGAATCACTTCTTTAGCGGAGCGCCCTGGCGATGTTCTCCTTTTGGTTACCATCCGACACCGCCGATAGTTCAGAGCGCATGCTCTCCAAGCATGTTCTGGGGTCGCCAGGAGAAGCTGTCCGATGTCTGGCTTCAGCTTACGGGTAAGAAAATGATCCTTGTATGAAAGCAGTGTTTGTTCAGCACACTTTGTTGACTACTACTTCCGTTCAGCTCGCTATCTCCGAAATTTCGACCGATTCCACTCTCGTCATGCATCCCCTCCCCCAGCCCCCGGGTGGCGCCCGTTCGCCTTGCGCCCGACCTATCTCTCTATACTCGCTCTTCTCATGTTGACCATGTTGGTGGTACTTGAGGCACTACGTCGTTATACCGATCGCTATGGTGGCCTCGTCTTCTACCAGGATACTGAGGACCTTTCCGACGCCGCCACATTCGCCTACAACTACGTGCCCGTTATCGTTGCCCTGATACTCGTCACATTCTGGTCTTTCATCGACTTTGACGTTCTGCGCCTTGAGCCGTATTTCCAACTTTCTCGCCCGGAGGGTACTCCAGCCACGACATTGTTCATCAATTACAACTTCGGTCAATCATTTCTGACCCCACTAACTTCGGCCAAGAGGGGTCATTGGGTTGTGTTGCTCGTATCACTTCTCACAGTGTTGATGCGGATCTTCCTACCCGCTCTGCAAAGTGCGGTGTTTGAGTTGAGAGAAATAAGCGTTTTGAGCGATGAAACCATGCGAACCTGGCCGGATCTTGTGGACCTCGCCAGCCAGGCTCAGTGGATTACTGCACAGGAAAAGAACAATTGGGATTTTTCGGCTCTCGCGTCGGGTGCCAGTTCCCTTCAGAAGACTCGCTCTGCCAAGTACGCCGTGGCTCCCGTCGAGATTCCCACGGACGACTTCCGAGAAAGCACGGTGTGGACGTTGAACCAAACGATATACTGGTCGGAACTTTCTTGCCAGGATGTCATGGCGGATAACAACCTGGAAGTTACTGCTAACGGGACGACGGACGAGCTGCCAATCATCTCATGGAACGTCACGGGGGTCCAGCTTCAGCAACCCGGCCAGGGTCAACAGTGTACCCTGGATTTTCAATACAGCAACATATTCTTCCCTTCGAGTGATTATGTCCAGATTCGCTACTGGGAGCCAGTCTGGACGGATAACGCCTTCCAGTCATTCACCACCCACGGTTGCAAACCGTTTGATCTCTACGGCATACTCATTGCCGTCAACGCTACGCGCGCCGCGGACAAAGACGCGGATGACATGTCACTATCTGGAGTCACATTCGCATCTTCGGCAACGCTTTTTGCCTGCAGTATTGACTATCGCAAGGCCGACGCAAAGCTCAGGCTTCATGCTAACAGTTCCATCACCTCGGTGGACATACACCCCAACACTACCACCAAATTGACCGACGATCAGTTCAACATTGACGAGTTTCAGGGCTTCTTGTCCCATAGAGCCCCTTATACCAGCGACATGCTCTTCTTTCGGGTCAACGAAACCAGCGGCGTACGCGAAGTGACGGAGTTGCCGGTTATTAGTCAAGAAATAGGTGATTTGGAGCCCGTGGTAGTACTGGATTCATCAGATCTCATGGCGAAAGAAGAGTTCGAATCCAAGGTTACGCGGGTCGTTAGACAGACTTTTTTGCTTACCATGGGCCGACTCTTCAATCTTGACGAAGCCCCGGCCGTTGTACCGGCGACACGGCTCACGCGGCAAGTCACACTCGCGGTGGTCGATTTCGCAGCATTATGGTCCGAGGTCATTCTTGGGCTGGGCGTCGTCATCACTTTAGGGCTGTTACGCGTGTACAAAAACCGGGAAAACGTCCTTCAAAGCGACCCGTGCTCCGTTGCAGCCATGTGTAGCATCGTCACTGACCTGTTCGGACCGTCCAACATCCTAGCCGATCCTCGGTTTGAGTTTCATCAGTATTCCACGCGACAACTCCGGCGACTTCTTCGGAATTGTTGGTTGCGCTGGGAACCTGGCCCGGGCCCGAATGGGAGACGCCTCGCGATCGTCACCTCGGACGGCTCTCCGATCCAGTTGGACGAGCAGCTGCGCAAGCGCGCTGATCCTATGCCACACTTTCTCGTGATTCCCTTCTTTATTATCGAATTCCTCTTGCTCGCCGCGGTGATCACAGCCATGAGCTTGGTCGTTGCTTCACTGACCCGGGATGGCAAGTTCCGACATCTTACACAGTCCGATTCGAGCTTCTTTCAAGTGGTCCTATCGGTTTTACCATCCATAGTTGCCTCGGCCGTTGGTTCTCTCTGCACCTCCATCCACCGCAATGTCAGTATCCTTGAACCTTGGGTACACCTTCAGCGTGGCAGGGCTACGGCGAAGGCCTCGTTGTCAATGAACTACTCATCGCAGACGCCGTTGGCAGTGTTGGTGAAAGCCGTGCGAGACCGTCACATTCTGTTGGTCTTGATATCTGTGGCATGTGTGGCCAACACGGCTCTGACCGTGGTTGCTGGTGGCTTATTCACACAACAGTTGACTAGCTCCTCTCTTCCTACCTCGTCACTTGTCACAAACTACAGCAATGCTGTTTTTCAGCAATCAGATTTTGCAGCAGACTTTACTGAATACGACATCATACAAACAAGTATCACCACAGGGGTGTCGATACTCCCCTGGACGAGTGCCAACCACTCTTTTGTTCCCATCATGATCAAGGATCCGGATTCCGATGCCCTATACGGGGCCAACACGCTGGGCATCGGAGCGGACCTGGCATGTCAAGTGTTGTCGATCACCGATAGTCTGGTGGTGAATCCGCAGAATGGGTCTGCTTATTGGGAATATCAGACGTTTGATGATCCCGATAGGCACTGTAAAGTTGACATGACCACGCTGCAGCATCCGCATGAGGACATTACACTTTCCATTCACTTTTTGTCTCCCGTGGTTACCGAAGATGATACCTATGATTGCCAGACATCCACTGTGGTGGTGCTGGGCCGGTGGAATTACACAGCCGAATCACCTGTAACCGAAAAAAACACTATTGCTTTGCACTGCGAACCCAGAATCCGGCTGGAAAACTACTCGATCGTTTTCGATAGGAAAGGCCAGATCCAAGATTTGAGCCCCATTGCCGGTACAGCCATCACGTCTGGCCCCATGTACGACAATGCCACAATCAGCTTGGGACAGTTCAACAAAGTCTTTGCCGCCATCCCGCAGAGCTACATCAGCAATTCGACTTATGATCGTAAGTCATACATCACGTCGTACGACTGGGCTGGTTTCCTAGTTGCACGTATGTACAGGCGTCGAGAACCGGGGTTTACGTCTCTTGACCCTGATGACCTGATGGACGTGTCCAAAACCGTCTACCAGTGGGTTTATAGCACTTACTTTACTATCTGGAGGGGGATCTACCTCCAGCCGCTGGACAAACCGCATACTGCTCCGAACTCGACGGTGATCTACGATACATGGACCATGGTGCCGTCCATTCCCTCTCTAGCCATAGCATTGATGATCATCGCCCTCGATACCTTGATCGTTCTCATTGTCTTTGGCACACGTCGAGGCCGCTTCAAGGGACCGCGCGTGCCACGGTCCATTGGCGCAGTGATGCCCTGGATTGCGCACAGTCGCATGCTCGAGGATTTCCGCGGCACCTATTTTTGGACCAGCGTACAGAGACGGATCCACCTCGACCGACTGAACAAGCGGTATGGGTTCCGGATGTTCCTCAATGCGGATGGTCACTGGCGCTATGCGGTGGACGAGGAACCGCCAGAGGACAAAGCGGCAAGTGGATTCGAAGATCGGTTCAAGATGTCTGGGGCTATCCAGCTGCGTGATTTAGGTACGGATACTTCTGATTCCAGCTCTGAAGTAAGTCCTGAGGCGACAGGCCCTGAGGTAACAAAACCGACGACCCGGGAGGTCGATCGGCAGAAATAATGTTTTCACACGATCTGTTCATGTATCATAGAGTAGGGTATTATATGGAGTCGGGATATTAAACGGACGGAATATATATATATACAATACCAATTTCAATCACTGCATTGTCAATAGCAACGACGTAGAGAGGCTTTATTGTCGAGCAACTAAGAGATGACCGGATCACCGGAACCAAGCGAGATCGGCGTATGCCAACCCCGCAATCGGCATCAATTTCACTTACGCCGCACAAAGATATCATGATTCATGACCAACATGGAGACAGAGACACGAACGATTAACGTGCTTGTATACGGCCTAGGAGCGTAAGTCTAGCCGAATATACTTCTCTATAGACATTGACAATCCCAGCATCGGCTCCTTCTACGCCTTCATCCTGCAMCGCACCAACCGCGTCCGCCTTACGGTAGTCGCTCGATCGAACTACGAAGCTGTCGTCGAGAATGTAAGCATCATAGCACCTCTGAAAGTTACCTACTAATGACAATAGGGCATCTACATCGACAGCGCCAACCACGGCCAGCACCGCTTCCATCCTGATCTGGGTACGCTGCCTGCATCGTTATTAGGATGTAATCTAACCTCAACACTGTAGTGATCAAATCACCTGCTGAAGTAACGCATCCATACCACTACATCGTCTGCGCGAACAAGGCCATCGATCAAGACGCTGTAGCGGCGCAATTGGCCCCAGCCGTGGATGAGAGCACCACGTTCGTGATTATCCAGAACGGAGTGGGGAATGAGGAGCCCTTCCGACGGGCATTTCCGGCTTGCTCGATTCTTACTTGCGTAGTACGCCGCTACCATCTTTGCTTCATAGTTGCTGTTGCTGTTGCTGTTGCTGTTGCTGTTGCTGTTGCTGTTGCTAACGTGGTATAGACATGGGTAGGCGCAACGCAGACCTCACCCGGCGTCATCACGCACATCAAATCCGAGGATCTGCAGATTGGGCTGTTCCCGAACACTTCGCTGGATGGGTCAGCGGAGAAGGCCCATCTGGACGAGTTCACGTCCTTCCTGACGGCCGGGGGAACGAGGTTCCAGGTTGTGGAGGAGATGCAGCTCCCGCGCTGGGAGAAGGTCGTGTGGAACGCGGCGTGGAATTCTATCACGGCGCTGACGATGGTGGATACGCGGACGTGGTTGTCTTCGTCTGTGGAGGCGACGCCGTTGACCAGGCGCCTGATGGGGGAGGTGGTTGCTGTTGGGAGGGGGTGTGGGGTTGATCTTGACGAGGGGCTGGTGGACCGGTTGATGGACAAGATCAATGCGTTGCCCGGGATTGGGAGCAGTATGCAGACGGACTGTCGGAATGGGAGGCCGATGGAGATTGAGGTGATACTGGGGGTTCCGTTGCGGAGGGCCAAGGAGTTGGGGATTGATACGCCGGTTTTGGAGACGTTGACGTGTTTACTACGGGCTGTGGATGGGCGGTTTCATTGACTTTTTTGCGTCGTAGATATGGAACCTGGATAGACGTAAATTGCTAACACAACTAAAGACCAGCTACCGGCTTCTGCGCCCAGACAATATGATACCGCATCTCCGTCCTGTACGTCCTCATGTCCTGCAGGGCGAGCCGGCCCAAGTTCTCCCATTCTTCCTCGGAGAGCCCGATCTCCTCGCGACTGGCTACCGTCAGTTGCGTCTTGCTATGCCCGAGACAGAGGTAGATACTTACCCAGTTTCATTCTGCCACATGTGAATAATAGAAAGGATATTCTCCGCCCCCTTCGCCCCCAACTCCCTATCCGGATTCGAGCACCCGATATTAAAATCCACCGTCTCATGATGGATATTCACCAATCCGGCCTTGCGCAGCGACTCGCCCAGCCGCGCCCCCACCTCGATATTCTGCAGCTTCCTCGCCGCCAGATCGTAGAACGTCCCGAAGTATTTCGCGCGCGGGTCATGCAGGCGTTTGCCGCTTCCCTCGAAGAGCTGGATCCAGCCGCCGGGCTTGACGCAGGAGATGAGGCCTTGCAGGATGCGAGCTACTTCCTCGTCGGAGAACAGGACTAGGAGCAGCCGCTGGTGGACGAGGTCGTAGGCGTTGGTCCATTCGGCTGGGAAGGGGTCTAGCACGCTGCGCAGGACGGTTTTGATTTGTGGGGGGAAGGGGTTGCCGGGGTGTTGGACGACGGGACTGCTGAGGGTTAGACAGGAAGCATAGATAGCACTGTGGGTGGTAGTGCAGGTGGTGCAGAGTACAGAATATCAAAACCGACGAATTCGGTCCCTGGGGGCATGATGGTTTGCATGCGTCTCATCCAGTAGCCTGCCATTGAATCAGCGAGGACGAGAGAGCCTACCAGCGAGGCCAGGCTTACCGTCGGCTGTTGCTGAGTCGAGAATCCGCTGGCCTGCACGGGTCAGGTCAATCGGGGCTTTGACGAGCCCGTTACAGAATGCTTCGATGAGCTCATGCTGGAGTTGGAGGCGGTTGACTTCGTCTTTTGTCTCCTCGGGGTCTTGACTGCTGTAGAGCTTGGTCATTTTGCTGTGGTTAGAGTCCAAGGTATATAGCGTGGGAAGAGTTGCTATATAGCCGGATTGCAATGTGAAGGAAAGCAGTTATAATGAAGGACACACTTGCACACCGCTGTTTGTCGACTGACGGAATCCTTGCATATGCCAACCCTCACGATGGTATAGAAATCATCGCACATGTAAGGCAGAGATCTAGAGCCAGGCCTCCCAGCCTCGTAGACGCACGCCAGCTGCCCTGCCTTGAGTCTCGAACAGCATCCCCTGCTTACACAAGAAGAGTATATAACACCGCTATTTCAACGTAGGAGTGCGAGATGCTGGCTGTGTACAACATATATGTGGACTGGGGTTGGCCTTACGACACGTGTCATGTTGTATTCCCTGCTGTGTTGACCCTACTGCTATCATCCCTACTAGCTAGAGATGGTTGTCTGGACGCCTTTTTGGCTGAGTGGTTGGATGTATGACATGTCATTAAAGCAAGGATATAGAGGTGCATGAAACAACTTCTACAAGACAGACGACGCAGTCAAACTGGCTGGAATGTCACCAGCGCTCCGCCACAATCTTAACCCTCACAGGCTTCCTAGTCGCTGCAACGATGTGTTCCGTCCAATCGATCGTCGCCTCACTCGTCTCAAACAGATCCAACTCAAACCGAGAAAAGAGGAGAGAAAGGAAAATGTACATCTCATAGTATGCCAACTTGCTCGCGATGCAACTCTGGCCGCCTCTGCTGAACGGGGCAAAATATGGATCCAGAGCTTTTCCTCGCTCCCCGAGCCATCGCTCGGGCTTGAAATGGAACGGGTCTGGGTAGACCTTGGGATTGTGGTGCATTGCATGCAGGCTGGTGGAGATGTATGTCTGTAGAAGAGGATCATGAGTCTGTGCCTCTACAAGAAGGGTTGACATGCATATACCCCGCCGGCAATAAAGTGAGAGCCAATACGGACGCCCTCGGGGGGAACGACTCGGGGCAGATTGCCCGGGAAGGGAGTATACAGGCGCAGCGTTTCTTTGATGACCGCGTTCTAACACACAATCAGTAATGGACAGAGGAGCCAGCAATCAATGGAACAAGGGGAGGGATCTACCAGGTACGGAAGCTGAGAAACATGGCTGATATTAGACTCATCTTTGATGTGAGGCGCTGCCTCATCCAGCTCGGATCGCAACCGGGCGAATACATCCCGGTTGCTCAGGACGAGGTAAACGGCCATGGTCAGGGGGTATGCCGTCGTCACGCCACCAACCATCATTGCGGAAGCTTCGTCAATCGTCACATCGGCCGGGGGGACGACGTAGTTGCTCTTCGGCTGGGGGGTCAGGAGATAGTCGAACAGCGGTGGGAAGCCAGCGTCCGCAATCACCGGACCTGCCGTCTTCTGCTGCTTCATCCGGTGGACGTATGTTGCAACGGTCTAGAAGATATTCAGCTCAGGCACTTGGCAGGAGGAAAACAAACAGGTGATAAATGACCTTCCGGAGCCCAATATAGCCGGGTGATATCCGTGCGACAAGAGATCTCGGGGCGAAACGCAAGGACGAGAACAGAATAGGGAAGTGTTTCACTTTCAGGCAGTATAAGCATCTGCAATCTGCATCCTACCCAGCGCCAGTGAGTCTACCTATATGCACTTGATTCACAAAGTGGTTGAGCGATCCGAGGACCGCACGTTGGCTGTCGCGGCACTGCGTGAGTCCCAGCGACTGACCGAACAAGACCATAGACACCACGTCGGCCTTGCAGTGTTAGCAATAAATGCTTTTCTCTGTTCGGTTTCCCAAGGGGTTGGAGGGTTGAGGCTGCTAACCATGGCAGATTGTGTGACCAAGTTGATATTGATCGAGTCGCCGGCCCGCGCATCGGCAGCCATCGAGTCCATACACCGGCGGGCGACTTTGAGAGTATACGGCACATACAGTGCCACGGCCTTGGGAGAGAAAGCATGGCCCGCGATGGAGCGCTTTACTTGGTGCAGTTGCGGATCTACCATGGTGCCCAGCGACTCCGGGTTGCCGATTGCCGCGTAGAAGAATCGTGCTTTGAGGTATGGAGACCCCAAGCGAACGACTCTGAATACTCATCAGCTATAATCCCCGGATCGAAATGAGGCTGCATCATACACTCGATGAAAATCAGGGTCGTTGACATGAACATGGTTTGGGCCGATCCGAACAACATCAGAACCTGGACGAGTCAGCAGTGGTCCTCATTGGAGACAGTACAATTATCAAAATCACCATATCTCTCGTGCAGCTTCAGCACTTGTTTGACGTAGACTCCGCCTAGGATCACGTCGTAGTAGAATTCATACCATGTTGTGAGGGAGGCCATCCATGGCCCTGGCACCTTTCTCAGAGGATGGAAGACGAGCCGTGCAACTACGACAGCCAATGCCCAGGCGGACAGCACGGTCAGGATTGTAGCTGGAGACCACTCGAGGTGTTGGAGGCTGTCGGAAACACCCTCTAGCCACCGTGCCGTGCGGTTGAGAAAGTGGTGCATGGCGTCTGCGAGAAGTCTCTGGCTGTGCCCGCTAGAACTAGAAGAAGGCAGACTACTTGTATCCGTCATGGACAGTAGACAGGGGGATTGGTTTTGCCGGATAGTGTGCTTTATAAAATATGCTTGCTGTCGCTCTTCCATGTCTACCATAAAGCCAAGGCAAGCAGTATCACCATCCCTTGCACTGATTCCAATCGCGTCATATCTACCTGAAATGCTGATCAGGCCCCTTACCGAGCGCTTGTAAAAGAATGGCCGACTGTAGTTACACTCGTAGATGGCGAACGTGCTTAGTCTCGCTGTCTCGCTTACCTGCCGTATACCTCGGGTATACATACAGATATATTGTAGCTGGCCCATTACGATGGCTTTCTCGTCTGGAATATGCAAGGGATTACGGTCTCGAGCGAAAAGAGTCCTACTCGGAAAGACCCTCGGGGTGTGCATCCGACTAACCATGGAATGCTACGTTGGCTTCATGCGAGCCTCTACACCGATGGTATGAGCTGCATCCAGTTCAGCTATGTTGAGATCAGCCACGCTCTTATAATATCCCTATATTAGTGTTGCGGGGACCGACCATTGTACCGGTAACTTCTGATATCACAGAAGCAAGTCACATTTTGATTCGCTTCTTCCAACTCTTCAAGATTCAACTCCGCTCACCCAGGACGGAAAACTCAACTTCTTCCCTGGACGAGAGAGTGTGTGACCGAAATCATGGCGCGTGGAGGACCGTCTGCCTCTGCTTGCCTTTTTCCCATTCGTAGCCATGGCCGAGGCGACAAGGACAAGTGTGCGCTCCACGCAAGACAGATTGGCTCTCAGACGTTACAAGAGGTGACTGAGTACTGTGAACGAAACACTCTGAGGATTGATCACTTCCTGATGGTTGTCTGGGCGGTTATCCTACAACAGTTCACAGAAAATAGAACAATCCATATGGGCCTCCAACAGGTCACGCTGTTGGACTCGGCTTGCTCGTCAGGAATGGGCATGAAGAGCCGGATGAGGACAGTCTCAAGGTCATTCAGCCAAGCTACCTCGCTGAGCGAGTTGCTGCAGGCTGACCTCTGGACGACAACTGCAGTGGAGGCTGCGTCTTTCAACACGGGTTTGGTCATTTGCTCGCCTTGTTCGACCTCGATGTCCAAAAGCATTCCCAGTATAGGAACGACGACTTCTCAATCAGACAGTGTAAGTCAGTTCATTGCAAGAACAGTACAAATACTTACTAGACTCAGACGTGCGATGTGCTCCTTACGTTGCATATGGGCTCTGGGAAGGAGTTACCGACATTATGGCTTTTGCACAGGACGAGCATCCTTTGCGATGATTCCGCACAGTATCTTGCGGACTCGATAATCCACATAATCAAGTGCATGACCCAGGGAGACGCGCTCGATAGCAGTCGACTATCTACCTTGAGTGCAACACAACGGGCCAAGATCTACGAATGGAACAGGAACAAGGCCGGCGGTCTCTCCTCGAAGGATTCGTTGTACCACGCCATTCACCAAACATCTCTACAAGACCCAGATAACCCCGCGATCTGTTCGTGGGATGGCGACCTCACTTATTCGCAGTTGATGGATGTCTCCCGCCGGTGGGCATTCAAGCTACGGGAGCTGGGAGCTGGGCCCGGTGTAATGATTCCGGTGTGTTTCGAGAAATCGCTGTGGCCCATCGTCGCCATGTTGGCCATTAACCAAGTCGGCGCGGCGTTTGTGCCTCTCGACCCCTCTCATCCACCGGATCACCTGAAGGCCATTCTTAAAGTGTTGAACCCTAAGATCACGCTCGCGTCTTCCTTGCAACACGAGCTTCTGGGAGATAGCTTGCCCTGCAGCTGGCGGGTAAGCGAATCGTCCACGGCAGACCTCCCAGACTACGGCACCGAGCCGTTTCTCTCAGAGCCGTCTGACTATGCTGGGCCGGCATATTGTCTCTTCACCTCGGGAAGCACCGGCACTCCCAAGGGGTGCGTGGTGCATCATGCCGCGCTGGCCAGTGTCGCTAATCAGACGGCAGCTCTGCAGCTGGACCGGTCCAGCCGCGTCCTCCAATTTGCATCATTCAGCTTTGGCGTCTCGCTGATTGAAATATGGTGTAGCCTGTGTGCGGGCGCCACGGTATGCATCCCGTCGGATGCGGATCGTCTGAATCGGCTGCCCACCATGATCGCCACGATGCAGGTCAACTGGGCAATCTTGACGCCCACCATACTTGACCTGCTCCCGCCAGAAGCCGTCCCTAGTCTGCAGACTATCGTGGTGGCCGGTGAGCCCCTGAAGGAGTCGCAAAAGTCTCTCTGGGCCGGTAGGACTCGGCTGTTTCAGGGCTACGGGTTGACCGAGTGGGCCGGTATCTTCAGCGTATCGCCCCAGATTCACGCCGAGGATAAAGTGAGCAGCATCGGGATGCCACAGCACGGTTCGTGCTGGCTTGTCGACCCGCACGACCCCGATCAACTCGTGGGGATCGGCGTGGTGGGAGAACTCGTCATCCAAGGCCCGAGTCTCGCACAGGGCTATCTGCAGGATCCTCATAAGACCGCTATAAGCTTCATGGTCGATCCCAGGTGGGCCCCGAAGGAAGCGAGTACCAAACACCAGAGGCAGAGGTTTTATAGGACTGGAGACCTTGCCTTCTTCCATTGCGACGGATCGCTTCAGTATGTCGGCCGCAAGGACCTACAGCTCAAGATCCGGGGCCAGCGGATCACGTTGAGCGTGATCGAGCATCACCTGGCGCATGGGAGTCCGGCTCTCCGTGGGGCCGTGGTGGATGCCATAACCCTTGCGGACGAAGACCAGCTCCGCCTCGCTGTCTTTGTCCCGAATGAGCAAAAGCCAGTCGAAGCTCCTGGGCTTAAAGACAAGGGGCAAAAACGGACGATTTTCGCCGTGCCTGATCAGGCGTTCACGTCCAAGGCGGATGCTGCCAAGAGGAGACTCCAAGGTCAACTGCCCCGGTATATGGTTCCTGATATCTTCCTCTGTGTGAACCAGCTCCCCGTCACGGTCACCGGTAAAATAGCCAGGAGACAGCTGCGTGATCAGGTGGGAATTCTGCGGAGTGGGGAGTTGGCAGCCTTGACCGGACTGGGCAACGCAGCCAGCCATACTGAACCCAGCACACCGCACGAGCGTCTGATACATGGCCTGATTACAGAGCTGCTCAAACTGCCGCCGCACGCCGTCGGCATGGGACACAATTTCTTCGCGCTCGGGGGCGATTCCGTCCAGGCGATGAAAGTGGTTGGCTTGGCCCGGCAGCGCGGGTTGGCTCTCACTGTCAAGGACATCTTCGATGCTCCAGACCTGCGAACGCTGGCCCAAAAGGCTAAGGCCTCGTTGCAATTGAACTCTCGCGATCATGCAACCCCTCCATTTTCGTTGTTACGGGCAGAGGCCAGACAGACGATAGTCCAGGCAGCGTCGGATCTATGCCATGTTCCTTTGCAGCAGATCGAGGATATCTATCCATGCACGCCGCTGCAGGAGGGCATGATGGCGCTAGGGGGAAGCAGGCCAGGGACATATGTCGCGCGATTCATCTGTCAGATTGACAGACAGGTCGATCTTAGCCGTCTTCGCTCCTCTTGGGCCACTGTCGTGGCCGCCAACCCGATCTTGCGCACGCGAATAATCCAGGTGGAGGGAAATTGCATGCACCAGGTGGTGCTGAAGGAAGAGTTTAAGTGGGATGCGGATGACGAGTGGCAATCCTATCTTGACAACGACCGCTACACGTCCATGACGCTGGGAGATCCGCTGGTCCGCGGCGCTGTGCTCCGGGGCCGAGAGGATCCTAGGACCATGTTCCTGGTCCTAACAATGCATCACTCTGTGTGTGATCGCTGGGCAGTTGGTCTATGGCTCAAACAGCTTCACGCTGTGTATCAGGGAGAGTCTCCCCGAAAGCATTCCTTTGCCGCTTTTGTGAAGTACATCAGGGAGGCTCAGGGGAGCAAGAGCCAAAGCTACTGGGAAAACCAATTCGCCGGCCTGGAAGCAGAGACCTTTCCTCCCTTGCCGTCTCAAGACTACAGGCCATGCCCATCGGAGTCGCTCCAGCTTCAAGTGACAGGAGATGCACCCACCGGCGCGACGATGTCGAGTTTCATCCGACTCGCCTGGGCCCTTGTTATCAGCCAGTACACTGCAGCGAATGATACAGTATTTGGTGTGACGGTTACTGGACGGAATGCACCTGTCGACGATGTGGAAAATCTACCTGCGCCCACGATCAGTACGCTTCCATTTCGAGTCCAAATCGATCCGGACCGCACGGTTAAGGACGCGGTGGCTGCTATCCAGCAGCAGTCCAGCGAGATGATTCCGTTCGAGCAGGCCGGCCTGCAAAACATCAGGAAATATAGCCGGGAGGCCCAAGACGCCTGCGGCTTCCAGACTCATCTTGTCGTTCAACCAGCGTGGCAGGATGACGATCGATCAGAATCATTCCTCCATCTGATCGAAGACGGCGCCTCCGTGCAGCGAGGGTTTGCTTCATATGCCATCGTTCTTCTCTGCAGTCTCACTAAAACTGCGGATATCAATATCACAAGCGAGTTCGACCCAGATGTCATCCCGCCGAGCATCATGCAGCATATTCTCGGTCACTTTGGGAATGTCCTCCAATATATCCTCGCTCATCCGCATAGCAAGCTTCTGGATGTTCCAATTAGCGACTTCGACGCGGCGAGATTGAGGGAGTGGTGTAGTGTCGTACCGCAGAGTCAGCCGGAATGCGTCCACGAAGTCATACGGCAGCGCATTATTGAGTCGCCGAACGCGTGTGCGGTCCATGCATGGGACGGCAGCCTGTCTTATGCTCAACTAGATGGAATGTCCACCCGGCTCTCTATTTGGCTTGCGCTTCAAGGGGTTGGGCCAGAGATCTTTGTTCCTCTCTGCTTTGAAAAGTCCCGGTGGACGATCGTTGCTCTCTTAGCAGTCATGAAGGCCGGCGCGGCGTTTGTCCTTCTCGATCCGTCGCAGCCACTTCAGCGTCTGAGGGATATTTGCGAGCAGACCAATTCCCCGGTCATCCTGGCGTCGGAGCAGAATGCGGATCTCGCGGCGCGCCTGCAACTGACGGTCCGGGTCGTCAGTCAAACAACCCTGCATCAACTGCCCGCCTGCCTGGAGAACCAGCGAGGCCCTGTTGTCCATCCCAGCACGGCTCTCTACGTGGTTTTCACATCCGGCTCAACTGGCACCCCCAAGGGTGTCGTCGTGGAACACCAGTCCTACTGCGCCGGGGCCAAGTTCCATATCCACGGGCATCGGATGTCTTCACAGTCCCGTATGTTTCAATTCGCCTCGTACGCCTTTGATACCAGCATTATCGAAATGCTAAGCACGCTTATGGCCGGCGCCTGTATCTGCGTGCCCTCGGAACATGATCGCCAGAACGACCTGGCCCGAGTGGTTGAGGAGATGGCCGTCACTCACGGGTTCCTGACACCCTCAGTGGCCCGCGCTCTGGCTCGGACACACGCACATCCGTTCGAGGTCGTCATCCTAGTCGGTGAGCCGATGACGGCGTCGGACATCGCATACTGGACACAACACGCGCGGCTGATGAACGAGTACGGGCCGGCCGAGTGCTCTGTTTGCGCCACCCTCAACCCGGAGGTGGGCCAATGCTCCGATCCCCGCGATATAGGGAAGGGGATGGGCGCCATCTGCTGGATTGTTGACCCGGAGGACCATGACCATTTACGACCCATCGGAGCTACGGGCGAGCTTCTGATCGAAGGGCCCATCGTCAGCCGTGGCTATCTGGGGAATACCATGTTGACCGCGGAGAAGTTCCTTGCTGAACCCCCTGCGTGGCTACGGGAAATCCGCCGGGACGGTCCGCGGACTCGGGTCTACAAGACGGGAGATCTGGTGCGGTATAATCCCGATGGCTCGCTGCACTATGTCGGCAGGAAGGACACGCAGGTTAAACTGAGGGGCCAGCGTGTTGAACTGGGCGAGGTGGAAAACGGCGTCCGCTGCTGCATGCCGGGGATTGTGGATGTCGTGGCGGAGACGTTCGTTCCCCGGGGAGGGGCACAGGGCCAGCCGTGTCTCGTGGCCTTTATTTGGAGTGAAGATCCATGTCAAATCCCCAGTGGAGACAGTGATGACGGTCCGTTGGCCTCGGTCACAGACGCATTCCACGGTCAGGTCGCCGCGTGTCTGGAGGACCTGGACAAGTTCCTACCCCGGTACATGATCCCGGATGTTTTCATCCCGTTGCGGCGGATCCCAACCAATGTCTCCGGAAAGGCGAACCGGTGCTTCCTGCGTGAGCTTGCTGGGAAGTTGTCCTGGGCCGAGCTAGCCGCATACCAGCCGAAAGTAGAGGATCGGCAGACGCCCATGAGCGATGCAGAACGGACAATGCGTGAGGTCTGGGCCCAGGTTCTGAACGTAGCACCAGAGGAAATTGGGGTCAATGACAGCTTTTACCATCTGCGAGGAGACTCGATCAGCGCAATGCAGGTCGTGGCTCTGTCCCGGTCCAGGGGGCTGTTTACCTCGGTCCAGCACATCCTACGCCATCGAAGCATCGCGAGGATCATCCAGCATGTTCAGAAGCTGAGCACGCGAGAAATAGAGGAGGCAGAAGAAGTGCCAGGGGTTTCTTTTGGCTTGTCACCCATCCAGAGAATGTTCTTTGATATCCAGGCCGATCCGCGTCAGCAGTACAATCAATCTTTTCTTCTGCGTCTGTCCTCCGCCATCGAGATGAGAGACATTGAACGAGCTGCTCGGGCGGTGCTCAAGAGACATTCGATGCTGCGGGCGCGCTTTAAGCAGCAACCGGACGGACAATGGGGCCAAATGATCACCGATACGATCGACGGCTCATATCGTTGCACAATGCATACCCTGTCCAAGCGCGACGGATGGGATTATATCCTCGCGAGGGCCCAGCAAGCTATCAATATCGAGACGGGACCCGTTTTCTCTCTCGATTTGCTACGTGCCGCGTCCGACGGCCAGTATCTCTTTCTCGTTGCACATCATCTAGTGACGGATCTAGTGTCCTGGCGCATCATCCTCTCTGATCTGGAGGCATTTTTGGGGGATCCGACAGCGACAGGGGCAGTCAACAAACCTCAGCCACTCTCATTCCAGGTGTGGTGTCGGCTACAGGAGCAGTACAGCCAGCAACATCTGGATCCTGCCACGGCATTACCGGCAGAAGCACAGAGCCGGTCTTTGTCCGATCCGCGACCCTTCTGGGGACTCGCGGGCCAGGAGAACGTGATGGGAGACAGGATAGTTGAACATTTTACCGTGGGCAGCGACCTCACGCAGCAGCTGCTCGGACCAGCAAACGTGGCATTGAATACACGCCCCGAGGAAATCTTCCATGCGGTTCTGCTATCCGCTTTTCATCTCGTCTTTCCAGACCGCGGCGCAAGCCCACCCCTGATCTTCGTAAAGGCCATGGCCGAGAGCCGTGGGACGCTGCCATCGATCTGTCCGAAACAGTGGGATGGTTTACCACTCTCTTCCCTGTGTCGTTGCAAGTAAGCGACAACGCGAGTCTCATCGAGATCCTCCGGTTGGTCAAAGACACGCGCCGCACAATCCCGCAGAAAGGATGGGCGTACTTCACCTCGCGGTATCTGCACCCCGAGGGGCGGGCTCGATTCGAGACCAAGAGCCCCATGGAGATCGTCCTGAATTATGCAGGAGAATATCAGCAATTCGAGCGTCGCGATGCTCTGTTTGTGCCGGACAGCCATAGTATTCTTGGGTCGCTCGATGCCGGGGATCGGATCGAGCGACTCGCACTGTTTGATGTCTCAATCTCGGTGCAGCGTGGTTGCCTAGCGTTCGAATTCATGTACAATCGCCGGATGAGCCATCAGCGGGCAATCAAGGCATGGATCCAGGCCAGTAGGGACGGCCTCGCTCAGGCGTGCAGAGTCTTAGCGGACGCTCCGCCGCAACCCACGCTTTCGGACTTTGCGCTGTTGCAGTTGCCCTACGCAGAATTTGGCCGGCTGGTCTTTGAGACCTTGCCTGATCTTGGGGTCCAGACGGACAATGTGGAGGACATGTACGTCTGTTCTCCCGTTCAGCGGGGAATGCTGCTCTCTCAGGCAAAAGACGGCGGCCTCTACAATGTCCGGGTGACCTGGAAGATTGAGCCAGCAACAGCACATGCCAGTGCTGCACAGCGTATCGAAGACGCATGGCAACAGGTGGTTGACCGGCATGCTGTGCTGCGTACTGTCGTGGTTGAAACTGGGTCATCCGAATCCTACCTGGTGCAGGTAGTCCTGAAACGCGTCACTCCAGACATCGCTCACACCGATCTCCCGGGGCGTGACCGTCATCCCTGGCCAAAGGGCCGGCCTTTACATCGAATGACTCTGGTCAAGACGAACGAGGCCTTTCTATGCCACATCCGCATCAACCACGCCATGGTGGACGCCACCACAATGGACATCATCTACCGAGATTTCGAGCTCGCGTATCACGGCAAGCTGTCGGCCCATCCGGCTCCTCCGTTCCGGGACGTGATCTCATACCTGTGCCAGAAACAGCCCCCGGAGGAGGAGGCCAGAGAGTACTGGACCGCGTATCTCTCCGGCGTCCAGCCGTGCCACTTTCCGCGCCTCAATTTCACGAAGCGGCGGCGATCAGACCGCGAGCACATCGCGCGCATACACCTCTCTGCACGCGACAGACTGGATGCGTTCTGCCGAACTCGCAACGTGTCTACGTGGAGTGTGATCTGCCTTGCATGGACGCTTGTCCTGCGGTCGTTCACCTACTCCGACGACGTGTGTTTCGGCTATGTCAAATCAGCGCGGGACCTGCCCATCGAGAATGTCGAGGAGATCGCAGGCCCGTTGCTCAATGTGCTGCCTCTGCTTATGTCCGTGAGCGAGGGGCTGACAATCGATGCGGCTGTCCAGGCGATCAAGGACGACTACCTTGGCAGTCTTGCGCATCAGACGTTCGCCTTGTCGGACATGCACCGCATTGTCCAAGGGTCGAATCAGGCGCTGTTCAATACTATTGTCGATGTCCAACGCAGGGACCAGGGGGGTGAGGAGACGGAGACGCCAAGGTCAATTCGCAAGGTGAGCAAGGAGGAGGTAACAGAGGTATGGTGCCCTACTCCGTCCGTTTATTTAATTGCATACTAAGTGACACAGTACGATCTAGTGCTATCGGTAGACGCCCTCGGCTCAGAAATCGACGTTCAGCTGAGATACAAGACGACTTGTGTTTCCGAGGAGCAGGCGACTAGCATCCTGGCAACATTTGAGAAAGCTCTACAAGCCATAATCGCCGACGATCAGAAATTAGTCCAGCAGAATGAGCTGTGCAGTGAACATGACAAAGCCCTGCTCTGGAGCCGGAACAAGACTGTTCCTCGGAGCGTCGAGGCCTGCGTCCATGACTTGATAAGCAAGCATCACGGCGACAGGCCGGCCGTCTGCGCGTGGGACGGCGACTTGACGTATCGCCAACTCGACCAGAGCTCGTCGCAACTGGCGATGCATCTGAGGACGCAGGGTGCCGGCCCAGGCGTCGTTATTCCACTCTGTTTCTCCAAATCGCGCTGGACGCCCGTGGCGATGCTGGCGGTGATGAAATCCGGCGCCGCGTTCCTTGTTCTTGACCCGTCGCACCCATATCAGCGATTGACAGAGCTCTGCAGCAAGGTCGATTACCCTATGATCGTTTCTGCGGAGAGCCATACACAGCTAAGCGCAGAATTAACCTCCAATATCATAGTCTTGGGCGACAACCACACCTCCTGGCCGTCCGCCGCTCCGCTGCTCCCCCGCGTCCGCCCCAAAGACGTGCTATATGTCGTCTTCACCTCGGGATCAACAGGCAGCCCGAAAGGCGTGGTGATTGACCACCGCGCCTACTGCACCAGTGCGTCGGCGCATATGCCCATTCTCGGGCTGGACTCGTCTGCCCGGGTGGCCCAGTTTTCGTCGTACGCGTTCGACGTGAGTATCATGGACCACCTGACGACGCTGATTGCGGGCGGGTGCATCTGCATCCCGTCCGACTCGCAGCGCCATGACGACCTGGCGGAGACCATCAGGCAACTCCGGGTCACACATGCGGTTCTGGTTCCGTCTGTCGCGCGCCTGCTCCCCGCCGACGGTCTGGACTCGCTGTCCACGTTGGCTATGGCCGGTGAAAGCATGACGGGGACGGACGTCGCTCGGTGGGCGGGCAGTGTGCGGCTGATCAACGCCTACGGGCCGGCAGAGTGCTCGGTCCTGGCCACCGCTCAGGGTTCAGTCAGGTTAGACACCGACCACGCGAACATAGGGCATCCGATGGGGTGCGTGTGCTGGGTTGTCCGCCCTGAGAATCCGCAGCAGCTGGTGCCGATCGGTGCCGTGGGAGAACTCGTCGTCGAGGGTCCGATTGTCGCAAGGGGATACTTTAACGATCCTACCAAGTCGGCAGAGGTGTTTGGGCTATCGCTTCCCTGGCTGGAGCATCACCGATCGCCCCAGGACCGTCACGGTGTGTACCGAACCGGTGACTTGGTCAGGATGCATTCTGACGGAACGTTGACGTATGTCGGACGCCGAGACAATCAGGTCAAGCTTCGAGGGCAGCGGATTGAGCTGGGCGAGGTGGAGGAGCACATCCGACAATGCTGCGCTGGTGCCAGCGAGGTCGTGGCCGAGGTGTTGATCCCCCCGGGGGCCAGCAACCCGCAGCTTGTGGCCTTTGTATGGATATCAAGCCTTACTCTTGGGAGTGCAGCCGGGGACGTTCTGGCTGGGTTCACGGACGAGTTCCAAGCCTTTGTAACTCACACCGAGACGCGTCTCCGGCAGGCTGTCCCTGCGTTCCTGATGCCGTCGATCTTCATACCTCTAGCCCGAATTCCGCGCACTGGGTCCGGAAAGATCGACCGAAGGAGCATTCGTGACGGCCTTTTGAGTCTCCCGGCTGGTGCGCTTGACCCAATTCGCCGACGGAAGGCCCCGAAAGTAGAGCCCAGGACGCATGCAGAGCGACAATTGCAGAAGATTTGGGCCGAGGTTCTCCATCTTCCGCTGGAAGACATTGGCACCCAGGATCACTTCTTCCATCTGGGCGGCGACTCGATTGATGCCATGAAGGTGGCTGCTTTGGCCCGGGGTGACGGACTCGCTGTCGGCGTCAGCGACATTTTTAACCAGCCGGTGCTGACGCTCCTCGCCAACGTGGCAGCTCCGTTGGCGCAAGGCCCGGTCCGACAGTTTGAGCCGTTCAGTCTGTCGAGGGTGGTGGACGCCGATCCCCAGGCTCTCTCTGATATGATACTGAGTAAAGGGATGGTGCCATCTCCAGTACAGATCGTCGACGCATTCCCGGCAACAGAGGTCCAGGAATTTTTCGTCAGACGGAACACGCTGCACTATTATAACTTCCGTCTTCGGGGCAGACTCGATATCGATCGACTCCGTGCCGCGTGCGACGAGGCGATGTCCCGTTTCAGTATCCTGCGCACCGTCTTCCTGGACCGCCACGGCAGCTACGAGCAACTGGTCCTTGAAGGGGTTCGTCTACCATTTGAGCATTACACTTTTGGCCGGGATTTCGTCTCCAAAGCTCAAGCCCTGTGGGAAGACGATCGATCGCGTTTTGAGATCGCCCGCGAGCTGCCCGTCCGCTTCATCCTGGTCTCTGGTTGCGACACGGACCATCTGTTTACGATTCGCATCTCGCACGCGCAGTGGGACGGCGTGTCCATGCCGCGTCTCTTCCAAGATCTGGCTGCCGCGTACAATGGCGTCGCCTTGTCTCCCACCTCGGGCTTCTCAGACGTCATCTACCAACGAGCCGTGCAGCGAGGCGAGGCCGGGTTCAGCTTCTGGCGAGAATATCTGGATGGAGCTGTGATGACTATCCCTTTCCCACTCAACTCGGAGTGCAACGTGCAACCGCAGACTGGTCAAACATTATGGCATGTTCAAGAGACCGCGCTGCCATCTCTTCCCCCGGGCCCCACCATGGCCACGCCCGTCATTGCCGCATGTGGATTCCACGTCGCGCGTCTCACGTCCCGCACCGACCTCACCTTCGGCCAAACCGTCAACGGCCGCAGCATGCCGCTCGAGAATATCGACGTGATCTTAGGGCCCTGCTTGAACTTCATCCCACTGCGCCTCCGCCTCCACCGCTCCTGGACGGTGCGGGATCTCCTCCAGCACGTCCAGGACCAGTACGTGCGTCCATTGCAGTATGATTACATGGAGCTGCGGGATATCGTGCAGCAGAGCACGGACTGGGCCGAGGGGACCGAGTTTGGGTTCATCGTGCAGCATCAGAATATCCAGTTGCAGCATGAGCTGCCCTTGGAGGGGGATGTCCAGGTGGAGTATTCGCTGTTTCCGCAGTTTGATCCCGTCCAGGAAGTTTTTGTTTTTTCGGAACCGCATCAGAGTCATTTGGAGATGCAGGTCTGTGCGAATAGTCGGGTTCTGGCTCCGGATGCTGGCAAGGAGTTGGTCAAGGCCCTTTGCGAGACGCTGGAGTTGTTTGCTGATAATCTAGATATGGTCCTGCCTCTGCCCCTCTGGTCTTAGTATCTTTATTATCTAGAGTATAGATTGCCTGCTAGTCTTGTTAGAAGTCATTCTACCATCTCCTGCTTATATCTAAATTACTACCTGTGAATACAGTCTTGAGATTTGACAATATCAATTCCAAGCTGACGACAAAATTGTACTCTGCTCGCAATTGAGGAGCTCTTTCGAATGCAGAGCCTGTAGGTTTGCAGCAAAAAGCGAATGAGAGCAATTAGAAAAGCCACGCGTAGGCTGTCCGCCAAAGTACCCGATGTCCCGATCCTGTGGCGCCAATCCTACTCTGGTGGAGATGAAGCTATCCACAAGGTACAATATATCTCAAACCGACAATAAAATAGACTTCTGGGACCGCTAATTATGTCCAATTCACGGCATCGACATTAATTAGATTATTAGCAAGACTACAGTCATCAAACCGGTGTCGGGCCAGACTCGTATTGTCCAGTCTGGAGTTATTATCATCAGGACAGACAAAGGATTGCCGGAATCCTGCCAAGACGAAGCCGTGTTTGAGGATTCTGTCCGTCTGCACTTCTGAAACACACACGATCCATCAAGAATATCGCCAGATTCCAAAGGGACAACCCTGCAGTGATCGCGGGCCCTTGCATTATTGTCGGCCCTCCTACTTTATTTCCACCAGCCATTCAGCGCAGGCGCTGAACGAGGGCGTTATGCTAGCCGCTCTACAAGATTGCAAGACCCTTGGCCGATCCTTCATCATTGATTGCTTTGATTGCTTTGATTGTCTAGACGAGATTCCAAAGTATTTAAACAAGGTGAGAGTCGATTGTCTTGGTTGATGCAAGTTCTTTCCTTCACACTTCATTCTCATCTGCTTGACGCAGTTGTCCTTCCTTTTACCTTTACCCACTTATTCATTCCTTTGACAATATGTATAGAAACTTCCTCCTTGCAGTGCTGGCACTGCTGACTGCATCTGCTCATGCCCACACCACCTTCACGACCCTCTACGTCGATGGAGAGAACCAAGGCGATGGGGTCTGTGTCCGCATGCACCGAGACCCAGAGAAAGCCACCAATCCCATTGAGCCTCTCTCCAGCAAGGACGTCGCCTGCGGTAAGTCTACATCTCCCATCCCTTGAGCTTCAGCTTCAACCAGACTAACAATATGTACAGGCATCGATGGCGAAAAAGGCGTCGCGCGCGTCTGCCCCGCCAAGGCCTCCTCCACCCTCACCTTCGAATTCCGCGAATGGCCCGACGCCTCGCACCGGGGCGCCATCGACAAAAGCCACAAGGGCCCCTGCGCCGTGTACATGAAGAAAGTCGACGACGCGACGGCCGACAACAACGCCGCCGGCGACGGGTGGTTCAAGATCTGGCAGGCCGACTACGATGCGACGGCCGGCAAGTGGTGCACCGAGAAGATGATCGACAACAACGGGCATATCTCCGTGCAGATTCCCGCCGATATCGAGGGCGGGTATTATCTTGTGCGGCCGGAGTTGCTGGCCCTGCATGCGACGCAGGATAACCCGCCCGATCCGCAGTTCTATGTCGGCTGTGCGCAGGTGTTTGTGCAGTCGACTGGGACGGCCAAGCCGCCGACGGTGAACATTGGCGAGGGGACGTATGCTCTCAGTATGCCGGGTATGAAGTATAATATCTACAAGACGCCGTTGGACCTGCCGTATCCTATGTACGGGCCGCCGGTATATGAGGCGGGTAAGACTGCGTCTGCCAACACTCGATCCGAGAAGTCTGCCGATACTGCGTCGTCGGCCAGTACTACGCCTACCAAGGCTGCGTTGGCCGACACTGGATCCAAGAAGTCTACCAATTCTACATCTAAACCGAGTTCAGTCCCCACCCAAGTCTGCAAGGACAAGACGAAGAGCAAGAAGGAAAAGACGAAGCGCGACACGCTAGTCCAGACCAAAGGCCTCAAGCCAGAAGGCTGTATCCTCGTCCGCGACAACTGGTGTGGATTCGAGGTGCCCTCCTATACAGACGAGCAGGGTTGCTCCGCTGTAAGTTCCTTTCCCTCTTCCCCTTCCTTTTATCAAGGAATCAAACTGACAAAATAGGCATCCCAAAACTGCTGGGCCCAAGCCGATGTATGCTACAACACGGCGCCCCCTACCGGCTCAAAACACTGCCAGATCTGGGAGAACAAATGCACTGCTCTCGACGATTCGTGCAACAGCGGGGTGTTTACCGGTCCGCCGAATAAAGGCAAGGACCTCACCCCGAAGCCGCCTGCGTTGGTGGGATCCACCAAGATTTTTCAGCGGGGGCTACGGTCGCATATGAAGAGAAGGAGACTTGCTCACGTTTAGTTGATCGGCACGAAATGGAGCATACCAGGGGAGGAACGGTGTTGAAGGTGCATGAGTGGTATATATCTAGACAAATCCTGCATAACTAGAAACTGATACGACATTGTCGTATAAAGTTCAAATTTCTGCAGATTTACTTCAGATTTACTTCAGATCCCAGACCTACCCAATTCGTAAATAATAAATGCGATCTCCTCATCAGCTGGAGCAACCGCAGGGACGCAGTTCTCGCCGTTCGCCCCATCAGTGCCTGTAAACAGACTGAAGATACCTGGGTTATTAGCTTGTTTGGGCCGCTGTGCGAGGCTAGAGAGTGAGTTTGACCATCCCAGAGAATGAAGGTAAATGCACAGGGTAATCTTGCTCATTCCAATATTGAGATGATGTATGTACAGGCTGACTGCATTCAATTGATTTTGAACCCCCCCGGACACAAACGTTGAAAAACGCCTTGAGGGTCATATTTCCCTGCGGTCTGTCTCAAGAATTTTTGCATTGCGTTGCCGTAGCTCGCTATAGGATCCTGCCAGGACGCAGCATGGTTGAGGTCAATATACGGATTATAGGCGCAGGCTGCCTTGGCGGCGCTGATGATGTTGTTCGAAAGTCTCTCGGCCGCCGCGCTGACTATGGGATACTCTTGCGGATGGTTGAATGTGGCAGACAGCAGTGCGAGGACGAGGCCTTGCCGGGGTACGTCTAACCCCAGGACGTTTCCGCCTCGGATTGAACTCTGATATGCTATGGCAGGGACAATGGGTTCCAGGCTAATGGTCCATTGGATGCTGGGGATACCTGACACCTCGGTGGTGCTCGCATTCCATATGTCGAAGACATGCTTCAGCAGGTCAAGGTTGTTCTCAAAGGTGACTGCAAATGTGATTTGTCTATCGCTGTTAGCACGTTTCTGGTGGTTGTAATGGCGATGACTTACTGGCGAGAGTTCGGGGACAGCGAACCTCCCCTGGCCGAGAGAGCTTCCAGTGTCATCACTTGAGTGCTGGCCATCATTTGAGGCTGGATAGAGGTGAATGGTCTGAAAGGGGCTGGATTCTCCTGGGGACTCGCGTAGGCTAATTGATTGGTGAGTATAGGACCCATGGCTGGGGTGAAGGCAAAGTTGTGGATGAGTCCGGCCTTGACGTCGTAGCTGGGGTCGGAGGTGAAGCGATAGAATGCGTCCAGCTGCTGGTCAAGTGTGCTCACTGGGTAGTAGATATCCCCTCCCCAAACCTGCCCCAGAGGAAACGTCCGGAAGACAAAGTTGGTCACAATACCGAAATTATTGGATCCTCCCTTGAGAGCCAGCCAAAGATCGTGCTCATTGTCCTTTGTCGCGTTGACAATCCTGCCATTCGCGAGGACCACCTGGTATTCGACCACGTTGTCACAGGCAAAACCAGCTTCCGTAGCAAAGTAGCCGAAGCCACCTAGCCTGTCAGAAAGGGTCTATCATGTTATAGGTCAGCTTACCACCCAGTGTAGTCCCTCCCACTCCAACAGGGCTATCTCTGCCTCCTGGTACCAACACCCCGATAGTGTCTAGGGCTGCATATACACCCCCCCATCGCTGTCCAGGTCCGACTGACACAAGGCTTCCGTCCGCGGAGGGAACAATCCAGTTTAACGCGCTGAGGTCAATAGTCACACCGTCTTGAATGTTGGCAATCCCAGCAATTGCTCCGTGACCACCACTGCGAACAGCAAACTTGCAGGCATTGGGAACAAGAACGACTATCGCTTTGGAAACATCCTGAGGGGAAGTTGCTGACAAAACGCACGAAGGACTGATCAGCTGCTCTTGCTGCGACCAGTACGACGACACCGAGGATTCGTATGCCGTGCTATTTGGATATAGTATCTTTGAGCCCAGGATACTCGTCAGAGCCTGACACTGCACAGAGTCAGTAAGTAGTATGCTAAGAAGGACGTTTGCCTTACACAAGTAGTTGCAAGTGCAAACGCAGGTAGAATGAAGATAGCAAATAGGATGCTACAAACGTTCATTCTGCAAGTATGCCACGAGGAGGAATCCTTGTGTAATGGCGGAGGGGAGCTGCAAGCGAAGTGGGGAAGACTTAAGAACTAGTAGTATAATAAATGGCTCCTGGTCTGATCCTGTCGGACTTTCTTGCTTCATCTCCCTAACTCTATTTTCTTTTTCTTTCTCGTATTCATTTCTTTGTCCTCCGATACTAACCCCAGCCTTGCAGGATGGACATCAACCAGCTACCCATCGTCAGCGATGATGCTACCAATGCCGTAGTGGATTCTACTTCTGCCATGGGGATCTGTGTACGTCTGATCCTGAGTCCAGTCCACATCGTAGATACAATTCTGACCACAGCAGTGCCTCGCTCTATCCACCGTTCTCGGCGACAAAGTCTCACTCCCCCCCACCAATCGCTACAAATCATGCATAGACTCCTATTTCTCGCAGCAAAACTCCAACCTCCAGCCTCTGTGCATCGTCTCCCCGACCACAGTCGAAGATGTCTCTGCCGCCATCACCACCATCACAAACAGCAACTGCCAATTCGCCATCCGCTCCGGCGGCCATACCAGCTTCGGCGGCGCATGCAACATAGCCAACGGCATCACCATCGACCTGCGCGCGCTCAATTCCATCACCGTCAGCGATGATCGCTCGACAGTGTCGGTCGGCGTAGGCGCATCCTGGGGCGACGTCTACGCGTTTCTCGATCCGCTAGGTCTCTCCGTCGCGGGCGGGCGCGCCGCACAGGTCGGCGTGGGCGGGCTCACCATCGGCGGGGGGATATCCTACTTTTCGCCGCGGTACGGCTGGACCTGCGACACGGTAACCAACTTTGAGGTCGTGCTCGCGAACGGGACAGTCGTGCAGGCCAACGAGAAAGAAAACCCCGACCTCCTTGTGGCACTCCGCGGCGGCGCGGCCAACTTTGGTATCGTTACGAAGGTTGATTTCCGTGCGTTTGAGCAGGGTCCTATCTGGGGCGGGACTGTTTATTATCCCCTTGACACGATTGACGAGCAGCTGCGTGCATTTGCCGAGCTGAACTCGGCCGAAGGGTATGATGAGTATGCGTCGCTGATTACCAGTTTTGGGTTCGCGAAGGGAAAGGGCGCGGCTGTGGTTAATAGCGTTGTGTACACGAAAGCTGAGGAGCGGCCCGCTGTCTTTGAGCCGATTATGAAGATCCCGTCGATGTTCAGCACGATGCGTGTGGCGAGCATGCATGAGATGTCGCTGGAGCAGGGGTCGTTTGCGCCGAATGGGAAGAGGTATGCAACCCTTTGTCCGTAACCACATGCAGGCAGCGCTGACCTGACAGGCAATTGGGTGCCGTGACGACGCATGCGTCGACGGTCCCCATGCTCAACGCGACGTATCTACGGTGGAGTTCCAGTTTGGCGGCCATCGAGGATATCCCTGGCATTGTGTGGTCCATCTCGTTGGAGCCGCTACCACCTGCGATCTATGCTCGAAGCTCTACTACGAATTCCATGGGTCTGTCGCAGGCTTCTGGCTCCCTGGTCGTCACGCTCCTCAGTGCTACGTGGGACGACGAGGCAGACGATGCGAAAGTCGAGCAAGCCGCGCGCGCACTCTTTGCTGGGATTGAAGACGACGCGCGCAAGCTGGATGCCTACGAGCCATACGTCTATCTGAACTACGCGGCCGAGTGGCAGGATCCGATCGCTACGTATGGGAAGAAGAGTATCGAGAAGCTGCAGCGAGTGAGTCAGGTCGTGGATCCAAAGGGGGTCTTCAAGAACAAGATGCCTGGTGGTTTCAAAGTCCCTTTTACAAGTAACTAGTTGTATGAGGGGCAATTCAACTCTTTACACTTTTCTCCAGTTCATCCAATCCCTGCCCATTGCCGATCATGCGATCCTAACCCGTTAGCCAGCACACCTCAAGGAAGTAGACTCATAACTCACCAACAACCAGGACGGACACCAGCGCGACAAAATCCTGATCGCAGCGCTATAAGGCCCCCTCCAGACCAACCCCCCGCTGCCCCYCCCYTTGGCCCCCAAAACATCATCTACAACCGACTCTGCAAACTCCTCAACCGAGCACCCCTTCGGCCCCGCCTCGCCCGTCGCCCACTGCGAGATGACATCCCTGATCGCCGCATAGCGCGAGCCCGCGGGCAACACCACCCGCGGCTCATTATCATGGAACGAGGTGGTGACGGTGCCCACCATCAGACACACAACTGCGACGCCCAAGGGGGCCAATTCCAACCTAAGCGTCTCGGAGATCTGCACGACGGCCGCCTTGGATGACGAATATACCCCTGCACATTAACCGTCAATCTATCTATCCCTAACACGAAATACGAAGGGAAGACAAGAGGAGAGGAGAAGAGAGGAGGATACCAATCCAAGGCGTATTCACCACGGCCCCCACGCTGCTGAGATTAACCACCCGCCCCCGATTGGCAACCAGCAGGTCTGCGAATCCCTGGATCATCCGCACAATACCCCACACATTCGTCTCGTAGACCTGCTTCGCGTGCTCCAGGTCTGCGTCCAGCAGGGGGACGGTATACCCCGCTCCGGCGTTATTGACCAGCACATCGAGCCCGTGTCCGTGATGCTGCACGGCCTTGACGGCGGCGGCGACGGAGGCCGCAGATGTCACGTCGAGCTGCAGGAGGGTGACGTTGGAGAGGATGGTGAGGGGGCCGGGGATTTTAGCGGGGGAGCGGGCGGTARCGAAGATGTGGTGGCCCCTTTTGGCGAGCGAGAGGGCGAGCGCGGCGCCGATGCTGTTGGCTGAGCAGCCGGTGATGAGGATGGTTTTGGGCATTGATTCGTTTTGATTTGGGATGGGATGATGTCTGTTGAAATTGAGATGAGACAATTGTTGTCTACAGATGGGGAGATCTTGTTTATGTGAGGGGCTACGGAGACAGGGGTCTATACACTATTGTTGTGAACTTGTGCTACGGTGAGATAAGAGGTTGATTATTCATGGCAAGGATCCTGCCTCTGCTGCCTATCTACTGAATACGTGAAGATTCCTACTGACAATCTCCAAAGAACATCAAAGCATATCAAGATGTTGACCCTAAACTGTGACGAAGAAAGGACCTGCGGAGATGACCAGATGAGGGGATTTGCAGATCAGCCTGGGAAGACTGACCAGTTTGGACTACTGCATCCTGTATCTGCAGCTAAGCTCTAGCCATCACACCAGCCCGTGCAAGTGCAACAGTGTCGCAAATAAATAACCATCACGACTATCGCTGCCTGTTTCCACGGAATCATGTCGGCATCCGGATTACCAGGACGCGGGTTCAACTTGCACGCTCCTTGGCTGTGTCCTATCCGGATCGACATATCGAATATCGGAGAAACTCGACTACGACGCAGGGGCCAAAATGATAGACTGGCCGTCTGTCTGTCTGTCTCGACTCGAGCCAATGCAAGGCGACCAGCCGAGAACAAGTTGAAAGCGTTATCTCAAGCATGTGAATGAATCATTGACAATATTGACAGGGATTATCATTACTATTAACAAAGGTCTCCGACAAGATCCTTGTCTACGGTATCATACAATGGAATGCTCCCGAATCTCCTGCTCAATGTTGACCTCACGGGATATTCCGTTTCCGTGCGTGGACGGCCTCCCTCCCCTTCCCGCCTGTATTTTGGTGTTCGTTGCAAAAGGAAAATCTCTCAGCTCATGGTACTGTCCCGTTGCGTCGCCCGGGAGATGCGATCGAGCTGGTTTAACCTTATCCATCTGATGGTCCACTGTGCCGACGACGGAGCGACCACCGCTAGAGCTTAGTCGTGAGCGTAGAGTCTTGAGAAGTGCCGAGTCCAGGACGTGGCTTCGGAAAAAGGTCGCGAAGAAGGGCATCGAACTGACGATGATGGCGACGTTGTTCTCAACATTTCTGGCCGTTATATCGTCAGCGAGGTCCACAAATTGTTTCTTTCCTGAGCTTACACGCAGATGAAGAGCGCACTCTGAGTAAAGGTGGTGTCGGCGGTGGTGAGCAGCCGAACGCGAAAAACGAGTGCGATGACACTCGCGATGATTCCCCTGCGCTACTCAGTATCTCGTCGGTGTTTGTGGTAGGTTTAACGTACATCATGGCGGTCGAAAAGATGATCAAGAGCTGCCATCGCTTTTTGCGAGGAAGTTGCAGCTTCGAGAGAAGCGGGAGCGGCAGAATGAAAATGTAGATGTCCAGAACCACGGAGAGGGTTCCCTGCACGACACCCCAGTATATCAAGTGCTCTGGTCTCTTGTTGACCAGCAAATCCTCCCATGTCTCTCCGATGTGCGGTGCGGCGTAGTACGATTCCAGACCGACTCCTGGCCAGTATAGGACAAAGGTGAAGAGCAGACCGAACCGGATGGCGTATTTCATTGACTTCTGGATGGTGAAGATCTGCCGACATAGAAGGAAAATGGAGGATTTCGCAAAGAAGATGACGGGTCCGAGGAGGACTCCTTGCGCGTAGAGAATCTAGGAGGTTCGCATGGTCAGCACTTGAAGAGCAAGCAGCGAGGAATAGTCATGCCTTCATGTATCTGCCGGTAAACCAGCACGCGGGGATATCCCACTGATGACGGGTGTACTTGAGCACTAGACAGATCATTAGTCTAATCCGCGATAAACCTGATGAAGCAGAAACTGACTAGCCAGAATCAAGCCATTATATGTCGCGGACAGCGCCAGCGCGATGACCACAAAGCCTATACCAGCGCTCGTCAACGTCCTTCATGAGCGCTTTTGGCGTCGCAACCTACCGTCGGCCCAAGTCAGCTTGCGAAAATTCGTATACAGCCTCGCTGCTGTGAAAAGGGCCGCCCAGGCAAGCGTCACTGTTGTCACCGCAATGGTCGCACTGGCCAAGGACGGTGGATTTACGAAGTTGGGTGCCTGGCCTGGTGGAGGTTGAGCTGCTGGAATGGCGCAAAGATCCGTTCCTGGTGGGAGGGAAGACATGGTGCGGAGACAGCATGGAAACTATCATGCTGTCTGTTGCCTTGGATATATCGAGTAGTAAGTAGAGAGCAATGGGTTGAGTGTTGCTTCAATCTAATGCGCTGGGGCCGTTTGCTGTTCGCATTGCATCCAGGCCAGTGTTCAATGCACTGACATGCTAGTATCTACTGCCTACAGTAGCTTCTCCCGGTATTAGCTTTATAAGTAAATCTAAAACAGTTCTAGTTCCACGTTTAGGAGCATCATACCACGGGTTATTCTTTGTTTTTTAAGTTGTGGATCATTATACTTTGCGCTTATTCAAGGCCAACAAAGGATCGATAAGTGTATGACGCAGAGCATATGATGATGAATAATCCGTAAACAAAAAAGAAAGTAAACATGAAAGCTGAGATCGTACTAATGAGGAGTATAACTCGAGTTGTTGTCTCTGACCCCTCCTACATGTGCTAGCACCCTGATATCCTCCATACGAGGTAAACGCAGGATATCCTGATCCCGGATCACAATTACTAGTTACTACTTACCCAACAGCGTCGAATGAGCATCCATTGGAGGCAACGTGCATCCAGCCTTACAGCCGATGAAGAAGCTGCCAAGTGTGGGATACGAACGGATTCTCTCACTGGTGGGTTCCATTCTGCAACTTCAACCTGCAGGGGGAGTCCATCCCACTGCAGACTGTCAATTGGATTGTTGGTGAAACGTGCAGAGACTGTAAATGCAGGAGGGAAAAAGCAAAGTGAGAACTGAATGTCACCATCCGATAATAGCCTAGGCTGCTAGGATGTGGCGGTGGCTCAGACGTCGATCTGCTTTTAGCTGCGTCTACATTCTGCAGAATTGCCCATAGCCAAATCATTAGCCAACAACTATCAAGGATCATCCGTATCCTCATTTCCATCGGCATCACCATTATTCAGTCAACGCTTATTCCTTCCTCTTGAACAGTACAACTGTACCCTCGCGGGGTACTATGCTTGACCGCCACGTCCTCCACCGTTGACTACCGGCATCTTCCAACCGACACTCCCATCCCTCCAGAATACACACCATAATCAGCTTGAGGATTGTTGTGGCGTAAAACCTGCCGGGACTAGGGATCATCAAGCATGTCAACGTCAGACTAGGTCTTACCAAGTTACAATAATAATAATGAGGGGTAGAGTTCCCCTCACCAGGCGGTGTTTCCCAGCCCCCAAATTGGCCAGTCCACGCTAACATCTGTCATTGTCAGAGGGCTGCTCTCGGGTACGTCCAGAGGCACATCTCCCGCGCGTAGCTGCTTGTTTGCTCTGGCGAATCGAAACCCGTCGAATGCTTGCGGATTCTGGTATCTGATCCGATCGCGATCGCGCATCATCGCTCGTTGCGGGATACATACCCAATCACCCTCTGCGACTTCGAGTCCGTCAGAAAACACGAATGGGGCCAGCGCTTTCCGTCGGACGGTAACTGCCTGAATCAGCAAGGGCTGCATGTAACCATCCAGAAAGGATTGCCAACACCCACTGGCATCCGAATTGGTGCAGCGAATCGATTCCCTCACAAAACTGTCGAGGAGCGGCATCTCAGCCACCCTTCTCCTGCATGAGCCCGCGAGGTACTGTTGGATCTCGGCTCGAAGCGGCTCAACGTAGTCGTTATGCAGACAGAGATCCTCGATGGCGTATGTGGTGGTCTAAGTTATCGCTAAACGATTAGCCTTAGAGTTTTCCTCTTTGATCCGAAAGCTCGGTTCTCCCTTGCTGCCTCACCATTGCCAGCTGGTGTACCGAGCCAAACCAGACCGCGATAATCTCACCAACCATTCTGGTCGTGGTCCATTGTATTTTCCGTGGCGACGTGTCAATCAGCCACTGCATGCAATCCATCTGCAGGTGGTTAGCCGAGCTGGCCAATTTGTGCCGAAAGCTGAATCCAACCGGAGCATCTTCTTGCATAGAGCTGGTCGATTTGGCCCTCGTTGCTAACCGCTTCTCCACAATTGGCTCCAGATAGCGGAATAGTATCCTGACGGCGTAGTGTTGTCGCGTCACTAGGTTGGCAACGGACCTTGTTGTGGTCGGTTAGGCCAATTCAGTCGTTGTGCATCAAGTACTCACCGTCGGAGGAAACCCGGTGTGATACGCAGAATCTCAGCGGCTAGGATGACCCTCTGCGGAAATTCCAGCGCAGCCGCGGTGAATTCAAGATTCTGCGCTGCGACATAATTAGCCCGGTGGTATTGACGTGCCAAGGAGGTAATCGTACCAAGGTCCTCCCCGAAGAAGGCAAAGCAGTTGACCTTTGTGACGGTTCGCTTGATCATAGAGAACAATCTGCAATGCACGAATCCTGCTGCAGTCAGAATTGAATGAAGCATAACCGAAGGGCTGGCCCCCACTTACCGTCGTTACCAGGCACTGCAAGCTCGTCTGCAATGGCAGTCTCGACGATCCTCTGTAACTCGGGCATTAGAATGGGCAGATGAGCCGTAAGTCTACTTCGCAAGGCACGGACAAAGCCGGTCCCCTCGACGCCTCGTTGGTCTTGCCACTCGAAGCCAAACATGGTGTATTTGGGTTGTAGAATCTACATCTTGTGTTACCTTCTGCGTCAACAGGGTCAGGGGGCGTACCTCTTTAGCTACAGCATGTAGTGACAGGTTTTCAAGCGGCGCGTTGACCAGCTCCGTGATAAGATCGTTCGACGTAACCAACCAGTGATCATTCGACGGAGTAGATATCATAAATGGCTTCCCCTCTGCCTGTTTGAGTCAGAACGTATCACTGCCTGAAAGATGAAGAACGTTCACACACTGAAAGATATGCCTTGTCAATGATATCTGGACCCCGGACCAGATACCACAGACCGCGGATGCGTCTGAGACAGAATACCAGGAAGGTGATGAGAATGTCAAGCATAATGGCTATAGTCAATTGGTATCATGGAAACATTATGCTCACCATCACCGGACAACAGTCGAGACGTTATACAGACGACAGCCATCTCGCCAGGGCCCCTCTTCGGACTTCAATGTGCGTCTAAGCGATATATTGACATGGATTTGGCGCTTGCCAACACCAACAGCGATATGCATGAATTTCACTGGCTAGGGAATATGTGCACTTATGTACTCGCTTTCAGTAGCGAGTACATAAACCGAGCCGCGTCCGTTGCGTCTTCCTCGACCGGATCGTCGCCTCCAACCCATCATGCTTTCTGACGCAGTCTCGGCAGTGATCGACTGGATCGCTCAACGGGTTTCCTGTGTTAATCAGGAGTATCCAGCTCTGGCGGTTGCAGTTACTTCTGCTTGTGTTTTGGTCCTATGGAGAATATGGCGGTTCACTATATTGCCTTCGTATTATCCTGACGATCCGAAGGAACTACCGTACTGGATTCCTTGTAAGTTATCCCCCCTTAGCATTGAATATCAAACTAATCACGTCTAGCCCTGGGTTCGTATTCCCTGTGAGACACTGCTACGCACTTGTTGATTTGCAACTAGGACATGGGGCGGCATTCTTCAGCAATTCCAATGCCCTCCTATCCAGAGCAAGGTGCGTCGCCATTCTCCGCTAAGGCATCGTAGCTCACCAAGTACCTAGAAATTACTACAACAACATCCAAGATCCGTTCGCCCTGACCATTGCCAATTCCCTCATCTACGTCATTACTAAACCCCAAGATGTCGCTGAGGCGTACCGCAACACCGACACTCTCTCCTTCAACGAGTTTGTGCAAGCGATGATGCGCGCCTGCGGGAACACAGAGTCTTGCGTAAAGGCAATGTACAACCCCCTGTCCAAAGACAAACCCGGGTTCCCCAACCCGCATGGCAAACCGCTGGCGACTCTGGCGCGCCAGATGCACATCCACCAATTGTATCCGGGGGATAATCTGGACTTTCTGGAGAAGCAGTTTCTGGACTGGGTGGAACCTCGGCTGACCATGGATGCGCTCAAGCGGGAATGTCCTTATGCGATCCAGAGTGATCTTCCAACGGCAAAGAAAGACGACGGGATCGTCCTGCCGTTGATGCAGTGGTGCTCTGATTATTTTACTCGGGCCGGCCAGCGGGCGTATTTTGGGCCGGCATTGGATGGGATTGATCCTATGCTCCCGCAGACGTTTATAGTCTTTGACGAGCTGAGCTGGCAGGTTCTGTATCAGTATCCTAATTTCCTGGCGGGTGAGATGAAATCCGCGCGCAATGCAATCCAGCGTGCGTTGAAGAAATATATCCAACTGCCCCAGGAGACGAGGCAGGGGGATGCATGGTTCACAAAGGCGATGGAGAACGAGATGCGCGCGCTGGGTATTAGCGACGATGACATTGCGACGATGCTGGTCACAATATACTGGGGGTATGACTTCCTGCGATTTACTTGCGATTGCATACCAGGAAACTGACAGCGTAGGATCAACACCAACACGCGCAAAGCAGCGTTCTGGTTACTCACCTACATCCTCCATTACGGTCCTGAGCACTACGTCGACATTATCCGGCGCGAGACGCTCCCTGCCTTCTCGCCTGACAAGACAATTCCCGACCTGGACTACCTACACGACAACTGCCCTCACCTCGACGCCATGTGGAACGAAACGATCCGCCTCTCCGCGTACTCTGCCTCCGTGCGCTTCGTTACATCCGACACCATCATCGGCGGCAAGATCCTGCGCAAGGGAAACCGCCTGATGATCCCCTACCGACAACTACACTTTGACGAGACCATCTTCGGCGGGGACTATCCCGTCGAGGAGTTCCGGCACGAGCGGTTCATGCAGAAGGGCCGGAATCTGACCCGGAGCGACAACTGGCGGCCGTTTGGGGGTGGGACGACGCAGTGTCCTGGTCGCTATGTCGCCAAGCGGTTTGTGTTGTTGTTTGTTGCGATGCTCTTGCGGCGGTTTGATGTGGAGCTGGTGACGAACAGGATTCCCGCGGCTGAGGAGGGGAAGCCTGTGCTGGGGATTATGTCAATTAAGGATGGAGAGGATGTGTTGGTGAGGTTGAGGCCGACAGTGATTTAGTTAGGTGTAGTCGTATGAACTCGGCATCTCCATGATTCCATCCCGATTTACTGTCCATGTCAAAATATGTTTCACCTCAGGGTGATCTGTCATCTGGCATCTGCCTCGTCAGCTCAAACACGTCACCATCTCGCATTTGGAAAAACTCCCCGTTTGAAGTCACGATCCCACCGATCTAGACTCGATCAACAATCCAGCAACATGACCAATCACCAGCGGAGGTCCGACAAAAATGCCCGTTTCGGGAAAATTGACTCACCCTGCGACAGCCATACCAGCCACGCTGAACTCAACCCCGAATTACGAGTCATGTTGCTTCAGATCGATCCAACGAGGTGATCGGCCCTGTCAATTGAGTTTACCGGTCATGTGACTCATGCCAGACCCACACAGGGCTGTGCCGGTTGATGGCGAGGTGTTGCAGGATGAAACACGAGGACCTGCTTGACTCATTTTTGAGGCTTGCATACAGCACGCCTTTGTCATGGACCAACCTAACAGCCGTGTCCAAATAGGCAGGGGGAGTAATGATGCCTTTCCATCTCAGACTATGTCGATTCATTGAGTCTCCCACCTCGCGGAGGTTATGACTACGGCTAGCTGTGAAATCAACCACGGCACGAATCTTCGCGAAGAAACCTGTGCCCTGTCGCACGATTGATTCAAATCTTCGGCATTGAGCCCTCGGTATTTGAACGGCGATCTCAAACTCGGACAATCGCCGAGCAGAGTCCCTCTCGCAGTGCTATCCAAAACCGTCTATCGAGCGTGACCTGTGTGTCGAATCGAAGATCAAAACATGAAACTGCCCCCCCGGGTTATGGAGGTCAGAGATTCTCCGAAGATACTCCGTATAAACTCCAGTCTACAGATCACAGCCCTAAGGACTACCGTCTTTCTAGATCTTGACTTCCTGGATGTGATGAAACAGGGGCATGCGTCCAGTTCACCGAGCCTGCAATTGAGGTCGGCATTTATCTTCTATCTTCCTCGGTTGAGGGCAACTGCCGGTTTCAAGATGGAGAGAAGAGGTATAAAGATGCTGCTCGCATCGCTCTGAGTCGGAGAGAGCAGAGGAAGCAGACAAGATCACTTCATTCTCATCAGTCACCGTTCCTACTAGAGCTGGGCTCTATTCATTCTTTTCAGGATCATTCAAGACAAGATGAAGGCATCCATCACCACCGTCGTCCTCCTCGCTGGGCTTGCCGCCGGTGCACCCACTAGAACCATTCATTCCGACCTTGAGAAGCGTCAGTTCGGCACCGGCACCGGCACCGATGGACTGAGTGCTCTGGCCTCTCTCTTCCCTATTCTGGGCGGGGGCGGCTCTTCCACCTCGTCTGGTCTTGGTGCTCTGGCCTCGCTCATCCCTTCTCTGGGCGGCTCCTCGTCTGGAAGCGGCTTCAGTCTTCCGGGATTTACCTTGCCCACGTCCATGCCCGGCCTGGGCAGTCTAGGTAGCCTGGGTAGCTCCGGCTCCTCCGGCTCCTCTGGCCTTTCGGGACTGGGCGGACTGAGCGGTCTCAGCGGCCTCAACGGGCTGAGCGCACGCACCACTGCCTCCAGCGCCGAGGCAAGCAGCAGCGCTACCGCCGCCGCCAGCTCCGATTCCAACTCGGGTGTCACCCTCTCCGGCCTCCTCGGTGGTTAGTCATCCCCATTCACCAGAAAAGTCGTATGCTAAACAACCAACCAGAACACATCGCTAAACGCGACCTCCTAGGCTCCACCGAAAACGGCGTCACAGACAAAGACGCCTGCCAACCACTCACCTTCATCTTCGCCCGCGGTACCTCCGAACTAGGCAACATGGGCTCCATTGCCGGCCCGCCCGTCGCAACCAAGCTGCGCTCCCTGCTCAGCAACAAGGTCGTCGTCCAGGGCGTCGACTACCCAGCCTCCATCGAGGGGAACGCCCTGCTCGGCGCCGCGGGCGGGCCCACAATGGCCAGCCTGGTGAAGCAGGCGCTGTCGCAGTGCCCCGATACCAAGGTCGTGGTGGGCGGTTACTCGCAGGGCGCGATGGTCGTGCACAATGCGGCGAGCTCGTTGAGCGAGGGCCAGATTGCCGCGGCGGTGCTGTTCGGCGATCCGTTCAAGGACCAGGCTGTTGGCAAGGTGGCCACGGCGGATGTCAAGGAGTACTGTGCGGCTGGGGACCCGGTTTGTCTGAATGGGGTGAATGTGCTGGCGCATTTGAGCTATGGGGATGATGCGGCCGAGGCGGCGCAGTTTTTGGTTACGGCTTCGGGGGTTAAGGCTTAGCTTGCTTGGTTGGCCTTGATATATGGATATGGATATGATTATGGATTATTGGTTAGATGATTCGCTCGTTGATTCGGATGGGATGTCGCTCTTTAGCTGGTGTGGCATGGCATGGCAGGCGCTGGCGCCTTGGATACTTAGGTCCCTCATTTGTTGGTTACTTGAGGCTGTGACTCATTTTATGATGTGAAAGAAAAGGGAGAGAAAATATGGTTAAGAATAATATTAAGCTATCATTCTTCTCTTACTATTATCTCAGTTCATTCAGGTATTCACTAATCTTGACTCTATTCACTCCACTTATTGAAACTTGTTTGTTCAGTCACCTACCAAGTGCCACCTACAAATGGAAGTAGTGAATATCAAATATCAACCATGATTATATATACAGCCTCATCTTCCTTTCTTATCTCAACATCTTCCTTACTCCTCATTCGACTAGAACGACGATCCAGAATTTGAGTTTGACTTCCCCACGATGCGCCGAAGGACGAGGGCCACAACCTCAAGAAGGCGGAGGGCACGAAGAGGAACTTCAGGGGCTTTTGAATCTGCGGGATAGCCAGGAATGGGTAGATTGGCTTCGGTCTGAGATGGTAAAACCGTGGTGGACGGAGCTCTGGGACCATCTCAGCAAAAACAACGAGAAGGAAAGGGAGAAGGGCATTGGCGATATCCGGAACAGAATACTAAGTGGCGAGGCGCATGGGGTCCTCAAATACAGCACAGCCTGACCCTGAAGGGTTGAGTGGGACGCAGCCGATCATTTAACGCGATTTTACTACAATGTGAAGGATGTCAATCTGCGATCTTGAGATGGTGTGTTCTTCGGGAAGAATTGGGCAGACGACCTGATGGATACGGTGGTAGGAGATACCAAGTCTTACAGCACCAAGTTGGAAGGCTGAAATGTGCACCCCAGAGAAAAGGTTCTCCTGGAGAAGAAATCTGATGGGTTCGACCGGATTGAGACATATTGGAAGTTTCGACATATTGTGGAAGCACTAAAGTATGTTGAACTGGCCCCAGATGCCGTCAACCTCACCGACAACAAAGCGTTGTCAACCAAGCAATTGGCAGAGTTTGTCGCCTCGGACAAACCAAAATCGTTTTCATTAATGAGTGTCTGACCGACAATACGTTCCAATGATGCCTTCATAGAGGGGAATGGCCAAGGCCCTTCCTGGAATAATCACGGAGCCGTCAGTTACGACAGATGATGAGGCAGCTATTAGCACCTATGCATCACTCACCAGATACAGTGCTAGGACCTCACTTAGCAGACAAAGAGATTATCGTTACCTCAATAAGTGCTGAGAATGCTCCACTGGAGCTAGAGTTCCAATCTATCATGCGCCGCCCGCCCGCCCCCTCTAACATGATGGAAAGAAATATAACATTCACAGCTGAGGATCAAAAAGATCACCTTGGAGACAGCGGTACGTCAGGAAAACAGATATACTTTTAAAAGGATTATAATAACGACTGGCCTTTGCTTGTTATCAAAACTGGTCTTTCTGAATCAGAAGCACAACTATGAATTGATGCACACTGGTGGTTCTTAAATTCCGGCTATCAAGTCAATACAGTCATACTCTTTCATATCTAGAGTTCCCCCAAGCACAGAGTCATCTTAAAAGTCTATAACCTCAAACCTATCACCCCCAGAATCACGCGTGGACTACAGGCAGAGATTGAGCGCTTTATAAATATTAAGCAGGGCTCCCGTGGGGGGGGGGGGGGGGGGGGGGGGGGGGTATACACCACACCCCAGGACTTTGAGAAAGCAATTGAGAGGCCCACCAAATATGCGAAACTTACAGATGAGGAACTGGCGCGAATGGGAGCAAAGCTAGACTCACATGGCCTCATTGTTCCTAACGATGAGGAGGAAGAGATTCCACTCTTGCAAAATCCAACTAGGCTGGCGGCGTCAGGTTGGTTCGATGAACCATTGCTGCCTGTTGACAAGCAGCGGCAAGTCTTGTTGCGTGCTGCCGCCACGCCCTTCCAATAGCTTGAGCATGTCATATCCTTAAAAAATGCTAAGAATGCTTCACTTGAGAACCGTGCTGTGTGCTGCCGCCAGCTCGCAGTCCCCTGATCATGTCATGAGAGACCACACAACACCATACGTCCCGTTGAGGAACTTGAGATCGTCTATGTATCGGGCAAGTCGTGTAACATTGTGAATCAGCCTGACTCTCCCGCAAAACAAGGAAACACAGACCTGCTTTTGGCAACCAGGAACACATCTCCAGATGAGTTGCTTCTCCGTAATAGTCGGGTCTTTCTCGGGCCCTCGATCCTGACCTGTGTAGTTGACCGTCGAAGATCTCGTCCTGCTTTGTCAGTTTGCCATTAATGACGTCGTCGTGTAGGACACAGGAGATGTTCAGAGTCAGAGTCAGAATAGAATCTATGGCGGAGAGGTGATCACTGATCAGAGGAGTAGGAGAATAAGAATTGACAGAGGAAGTGTGGGAGATAGTGAGGAGAGATAGAGGAGAGATAGAGGAGAGATGGAGGAGAGATGGAGGAGAGATGGAGGAGAGATGGAGGAGAGA